CCGACAAGAAAATGGGCTTGGAAGCAACCGAGTGCTACTCGGCAAGGTCTTTTGGCTTCGAGATTGCCAGGGCCTTGTTCTTCTCGGAGCCAATCTAGCAGGACTTCGGGGTAACAACCACTTGGTGGCCACGATATTCGAGTAACCAATTCCATGGTCAGATGACGTTTTTCTCCTCAAACTCGGTCATGGACTTGTCTACGGCGAGCGCATGTCGGAGTTCCATGACGGTGAGAGATGTCGTCGTGAATGTGATCCATGTGAGAGCCTTTTGTGCCAGCCGCCGAGCGCTCTCACCTTGGTCGTCGATCCTGTCAAGGATTCCCTTGTAGGCTAGTGCCAAGGTCTCGGAGTGGTCATTGCCTTTTTTGAAATCGTCAAGCCGCTTCTCGATTTCCCAGGCTGTGGAGAGGCGCAGGTAAAGTTTAACAATAGGGTCATATACACTGTCGTGAACATGATCGGCTCTATACACACGCTTAGGCACCACATCGACCCATGTTAATGTCCAAAATCAGGTTCACAAACCACGACATGGTCAGTCAAAGTCACCGACTTGAAGGCTTATGTAGGCCGTACCATGCTCAAGGCAGACGGAATGAAGGTGTACATGTTCTGCTACCCCAAAGGCTATGTGGTAGTTTGGCGGACCAGAGCCAGAACTTAACCTCACGCTCACCCACGCTCACCCACACGTATCTCTGCGCAATCTCGAACAGGCCCGATGTCATCGACACCATCGGACAGGCAGCCGTGTCACCCAGAAGCCAAGGAGCTACAGATCAGGGCCTACCACCACACTCTAGAGGCCGCCCATGGTTCTAAGGAGGGTGGGACTTGGTGCAGGACATGCCCAAGAATCCGGTCTTGGCCATGCAGAGTAACCATCACCAAGTCCAGGACGCTGAAGATCAAGAGCCTACCGTCGACCACATGTACTTGAGGGCGTGACTGTCCATTTCCGGGTCTGGAAGTCAGATACCCGTTGTGCCCTGCTCTCAAACCCAACTAAGCAGCTAGTCAAGAAGAGATTCAACAACTCCGATATTGTCAGGAGGATGTCTGCAAGCATGTTCGAGAGACAAGTCTATGTCCACAATACTGTACAACATCATGTGTATGTCTATCAACTTGAGGCAAAGGGTGTGCAAGATTGGCCAGACATACACGTCGACAGGTCAGGGAATCATCGTCATCGCCAGGGCCAAGAGGTTCCAGGAGATTAGCTAGATAAAGCTCTCGGAGTTCTCCTACATCGCAGCCAACTCAATCTTGATACAACCATGCTAAGGAGGGGTGGACAGAGACTCATGGCCATCCCATACAACACCGGCACAAGCATGTACAAGCAGATCATGGCTATCATGAGGTCCCCCAGGTACATGTTGTAATTAGTACGCGGGCAGATTCACCCGCAGTGTTCTCGTTTAGTATATCGTATCACATCCCAATCGTGAATGCGATGAGGGACTCGGGCGTGAGGTCCTACAGATGCACCTTCATCCACGACAACATGCCGATAAGGGGTGCGAGGACTGAGCCAGTGAGCAGGAATGTAGATAGGTCTGCGTCTAGTCAGTCGTTGGTCAGTCGTTGGTCAGGACGGTTTTCAGCATGTACATGTACACCAAGACAATCCAGAACGATGGAGATGGTCCAGGGCATGCCCTGGACACGGAGGTGTTCCTGGAGCTGTGGCTAGACCTTGACTTGAGCACGTTCGAGACTATAATTAGTCCAAGCTGTTGGTCAAAAATCAGAGCCTGTGTAGGTCCCCATTCCCGTCGTTGAGAATCCCCGTGGTTGCGTACGTGTTGGGCTTCACGTCCGGGTACCTGACCGCAACCACGGTCTGCGGCGACTTTGGCCTGGGTCAGTCCCAGTAAAGGCCGCCGACAGACGGAGTAGATGCTTACCTCCGAGAGGTCGGCCGTCTACAGAGCCTCCTTTGCCCCGATCTTGAGGCCCCGCACGATTATTGACAACAACTCCGGCCGAGATCCTCGGGGTACATAGCCTGTACCCCCCCCCTCAGGATCTCCATCGAATGGACGGGCCTGGTCGAGTAGTGCTGCTTGAGCTACAGCTTATGCCTGACAACCATCAACCTCGCAATGCCATAGTTGCACTTGACTACCCTCATCTCCCTATTCACATCCCTGAACTTAATTCTCTGCTTGTCTACGAGCGCATAAGCCCTCCAGGAGGATGGGTGTAGTCGCGAGCCTGTCTATGTGCGTCAATGCCTTACTGCCGGTAGGCTTTTACAGGGATTAACACCCACCAATATTTGAGTACGCCTTTGCCTAGGCAGACATCTCGCTGACCTGACTGTCAATCCCCCTCGTGAGGTTCTTGGTAGAGACAAGGAGATTCGGTTTAACCTTCTCGCCACACCACACATCCTCGACTCCAGACATATCAAGAAGTAGTTCCATGGAGCTAACTGTGAACTTGAGCCTATGCTAGGTCACAAGCCGTTCCCGCCACTACAATTACAAATGAGGCATGCAATTGTGTTAAATTTTGCCAAGTGAATGAACTTTCCAGATACTTGGCTAATGATTTTTTTGACAACACAATCCGCAGCCACTGGCATATTGCGATTTAGAGGTCTGTCCATATCGTGATTGGGACCCACTTTTGTTACGGCGGACCGGCAGAATGGATCGGCCTTTACAGCCTCATTTCCCGGACTAACCCGGAGCTCAGGGTCAGGAGTTCAACCTCCGGACCCGTTGAACTCCAGACCCTCTTGATGAAACTAGACCACGAAAAACCAGCAGGTTCGGATGGATGCGCGGGAGGTCTTGGGGATTACAGATCCGTGCTGAAAGTTTTTAGTCGACTTCCGATATTTAATTGGACAATGGAAAGATAGCCAAGACTCTCCTCCTCAAGATCATCAGGCTGCCCTGTCCTGCCAACGAGTCCGGAGAACAGCCTGTCCATCTGCAGGGTGACTGGGTGAAAGCGGTGACTCTTACCCCCAACTTTAGACAATCCTGTTGTTGGTGTTGGGAATAGGAGAGTCGGACTAGGACCCGAAGTATAGAGTTGGAAGCGACGGGAGGAGCCGAATAGCCCTAGTGTAAGACCGCGCCGGTACAATTTAATTACGCTCATGCGCAGAAAGAAGATATTATGGCGACCTAGAACAACCTGGTGTTGATTCGGATCTGTCGACGGCTTTTAAATTTAACGAACATGATAATTACTATTGGATTGCGGTGGTCGCCTTTAACATTGGATGTGGATTGCAAGTGAACCACCTCTGTCCCCCCCAAAAGGGTTAAGAAAATGGCCTAGGTGGACCAACCTGCCTAAGCACAGAACGACTCGCCTATCGGCACCGGCAGCGGAAGAAGGCGTGCCAACCAGGTGCACTCAATGCTCCTCCATATCCAGGTCTGCAAACAACGTCACCCAAATATCACCACACATTGCCTCAACAACACTCCATCTCGCCTCCCTCGCTGTGCGCACCTCCTCCGACACCCTCTCCTTAACCAAGGGCTGCGACAACCTCGCGTAGAACCACCGCAGCCCCGTCTTCTCAGCAGCCGCATTCATAGCAGGCAAGAAGTCCCCAACATACAGATTCCGCGCATCCTCGTCGCGCAGCATAGCAGCCGACGAAGTCAGGGCAGCCAACCAAGCGCTCCTCCTAGCCTTCTCGTTAGCAGCCGAGTGGCGGTGGTGCGCCGGGGGTCCGTCGATGGTGCGGATCCCAACCGCAACGTCGAGCCCGTTGCTGCGCAGCTGCTGCACCGAAAGCCCCACGGACCCCACGGCGCCGAACACGCCCTGCGCGTCGTTGCCGTCCCAGTACGGCGTCGCGGCCTCGATCCACGCCGCAGTGATCCCGGCGTTGACGTCGTGGATGTGGGCGGCGCGCGCGGAGGAGGACCACGTGGTGGGCGGCCGGAAGAGCGGCGATGTCGGATCGAGGCCGAGGATCTCGAAGGGGTCGGGGGCGAGGGTGGGCGTGTTGGGGGTGGTTAGGCGAAGGGTGTAAAGCGTTGTGCAGACCTGTCGCTTGTTCGGTGGGTAGGAGCGGACTTGGTCGAGGGAGGGGGTGCCTGGGGGTGAGCCGGGCGTTTTGCCGGTGAGGTCGTGCTTGTTGTTGGGGCTGTTGCTGCTGCCAGTGAGGGAGGTCAAAGCAAGGATCGCCAGGATGGCGACGATGATGATGGTGGTGATAATGGTAGTGGAGGGGAGGCCGAATTTCGGGGGCCTGGCTGTTCCTCCCGCGTGCGTCGTGTTGTCTCCCCAGACCCCTTCAGCGGGAGTGGCACCACCGACAACACTCTCTTCATCGGTAGAGGAGTCGCTGGCTCGTCGATGCAGATTTCCTGCCCGCCAGTGGGTGTCACTGTACCCTCCAGGACCAGCGCGTCGGGCATCCCCACAACGACGCGCATTATAAGCGGCGAAGATGTCGGCAGGCCTGCCAGGCGGCAGTGTCGAGGATCTTTGGGCAGTGGCCCTCGAGGAATACGAGGTGTCCCAGCCTGAGTCCGGTTCGTCGTGACGTCTGCGTCGGTTTCTTCGGCGTTGTATGTCTTCGTAACTCGACATTGTCTTTCTATGGAGACGGCATGTCAGCGAGATGCAAACGGAGATGTGGGGCAAAACAACGCGTGATGGGAGGGAACGAGTCGAGAGAAGATTCCAGCTTACCAACCAATAAACCTTTGCTTTCTTAGCAAGTTCTTCGTTGTGTGTCTCACATCTGCGTGTTATCGAGTTCATGCAGAGTCTCCAATGGAGGGTGGAGTGGAAGGAAACGGCTGAGAGAGATGGGATTTTCGGCTGGAGATACAGAACTGATCCCCCTGAGACGCGTCTACAACCAAGAACAAAGAAAAGTGACGGATAATCGGAAATTAATGATCCGGACATTGCCTTGTTTATTTGCTCTCTCCTTTTCTCTCTTCGATTCCCGCCCTTCTCCCTTTTCCCCCAAACATCAGCAGCAGACCAGATACAAACCAAAAAAATACCAACAGGAGAAACAGATTCCAAGTGCCATGGCTCCTTCCACCATCGATGGCGACGCCTCCAGCGCCTCTGGGTCCAATACTCGCCCCAAACCGAAAAATTTTGACAAGATCAGCAAGAAGGTCCGCTCTAGGCTGAGTGATGGGGTGAGTCGCCAATGCCACAGCCCGTCGATGCAGTTTGGCGCAGGAAATAGTGATCCGTGGGTATTAATTATCCTCCAAACAGGGTTCCACTGGCAGCAGGGCCAGCAGCGGCTACCCCGGCGAGCTGGACTTCGAGTCCGAGGCAGGAAAACGAGCCACGCCCCGAGCAGCACCAATTGCTCCAGTCGGGGAGGGGAAGCGGGCGGATGACAGATGGAGCGCGGTAAACCTCCAACCAGAATGCCAGCATCGTGGCCAGCGCCAGAGCCAGTGCCTGAACACTCGAGGATTGCCGTCGACGTCGACTCCGTCACTTACCCGCAGTTGGTACCATTGTCAAGCACCCGAATGGGCACGAGCAGCACCACAAATACAGGAGCGTCGCATGACAATGGCCTGCACACCACGGTCACAGATCACGAGGGGGTCCGTTACAGACCCAGAGCCCACCCGACCGCGTCCAATATCCAACCGATATCCCCAACGTCCCCACCGTTCCCACTGTTTGCGACACTCCCATTCCAATTCCCAAGACACACTACCGAGATCCCTTTCGACGCCGACATCCCGACCATCGAGCACCCCATCGAAAGGCGGCTTGTTGGAATTGCACGCCTCCAGAGGATTGATTGACACCAAATTTGTGTTTGCGATGGAGGAAATGGAAAGTTTGTGAGGCTTTTCGGGGGAGGAGGACTAGGCCGGCGAACTACAGCAAATTATCAACGCAACTACGCAATGCACCTGGTCAAGAGTGTGCTCGTTGGAATCGCTGGATTCAGGGTAATTGATTGATGCTAGTTACATATCTGTAGGGGAAAGGGCTGTCTGTACCGTCTTGTAGAAAAGCATCGTCGGGTGCGCCGTCTTTGTTGGCTCTCTCCAACGGTCCCGAGGGAGGAAGGAATGAGGCGACGGAAACGGGCAAGCTGAAGATGCCAATCCAGTCCAACAAAGACGCCAAACGAGTATAATAGACTCGACCATTGCCCCCCGAGAACTCGACAGTTCCAAGTCCCTCTTCCACCTTTTCCCAGTTTCTCTTGCTTCTGTCACCGATCACGCTTTCCTTCGCTTCACAACCCCCCACCCACCGTTTCACACCACAACAACAACGAGAACAACAACGTCCATCGCGCATCCCAATTGCTCCCAATCACTCCCAATCGCCCATTTCGAAGGCGCCAAACAGCGACGAGATCTCACAATGGACGGCTGGGACGAAGATGACCAGCATTCTCGTGGGCGACCCTCGCAATCGCCCATCCCGTTTGCCTCGCCGGTTCGCGACCATGAACACGACCCAGCGGATGGCCATGACCACCCAGACACCTTCTCGGCCCTGCGCTTTACCCCGATGTACCAGCTTCAATACCATAACGCGCCCCAAATCTAGCCGGTTGAGCTCTGCTTCCACGAGGGATGGAAGGCAGACCCAGTCAAGCCCGTGTCGCTTCACTTCGACAATGACGATGCCATCACCCGCTACAAGGACCCTCCCAACCTCCGGATACCGCCCGTGCCTGCCGTCCTCATGGAGGGCGGGGTGCTCTATCTGGTGGGATACGACGACGACGACTACGACGACGACGACAACAACAACAACAACAACAACAACAACAACAATAACAACAGCAACAACCGCAACAACAACAACAACAACAACAACAACCGCTACAATAACAACAACAACCGCTATGTCAATCCGTACGACGGGTCTCGCTCCAACAGCGACCAGAGTCAAGACCAAGGGCTGTCACCCTCGCCGCCATCGTCATCGCACTCTGGCTGGGCCCCTCACCCGCCCAGCCAATCGCCACGGCTGCGCTTTGCATGGATTCGGACTCGCCGCCGCGAGACCAAGTGGTTTATTCTGTGCACCATGGCGCCCCTCATCGCCATGGGCATCGCAACTGGCTGGATGTGGGGCGTGTGGTCGTCTTCGACAGCGGCCAACAGCAGCTGGGCGCCGGTGGAGGTGGTTGACACGGTCGCTGTCCTCAATGTGACGCAGACATACATGGACCTTCAGACATGATACTCCCGCACGGGGATGTACCTCCCGGATGATGCCCCGTTCCCCAACCGAGGCCAGATTATCGAGTTCGGAGAGGCGCTGTCAGAACTTCACTCGTCGCTACGCGAGTATCAATGGAATGCAAGGAGGATGAAGACCAACCGGACCGAGGAAAACAGTCTTTGGTATCGGTTTCATTCGACGCCCGATTATGACGAGGAAGAAGAAGCACGCAGAGAGGAAGAGATGGACACACGCAGGCCGACAAAGTGGAACACAGTCAGCCTCAACCACGGCATCATCGAAGACTACCACGTCGTCATCATCGCCGAGATAGGGCTGGTTAGGAGCCTGTGGGCCAACATTGACGCCTGGATGGTTGGCTTTTGGACAAAGATGCAGACCATGTCCATACGCCTCGACGGTTTGTATGTGCATTGGAAAGCGCCGTCGGTCGAGTGGACCCGGAGCCCCTGGTCTTCTTCTCCCACCAATGGCACCCTCGTCGACGGTGCCTTTTTTCTCTCCAACCGCAACACAACGGCCGAGGAAGAGGTCCGCCGCCTTCTGGCACTGCGCCTGCCCGACGGCGAGACCGACACCTCGCCCAGGCGCGCTCCTCCCCAGGTCTCGGACATCCCCCGTCGCACGCCGGACGTGGACGGGATTGCCCACAAAATCCTCAAGGTATACAAATGGGGCATGGACAAGATGCACTTATCGGGCAACCTGTGCAACTTCTGCACCAACGCCTGCTCCATCGCCTCCGTCAACGAAGAGCTGGGCCACCCCCACCCGGGCTGCGTTGGGTACTTTCCCAAGGACCTCGACTCCCCAGCCTACGGATCGCCCGGCGACCTGGCACGCGGGGAGACGGGAGCGAGGGACCGCGCAAGAAGAGCGGCGGGAAAATCACCACCACCACCACCATCATCATCATCGCCGTCGTCGTCCACCCCGGCACCCCCCCGGCACAAGGGCTACTCGTCCCTCCTCGCGTACGCCTCGACGCTGGGATACGCGAAGCGCGACAACGAGAGGTTCGGCGACTGGACGCGGAACCTCGGCGAGAAGGCTGAGGACGAGCGCGAGACCAGACGCTTCAAGGAGAGGTGGAACCGCAAGAACCGCGTGCAGCCGGAAACCCTCTGGGAGGAGCCCGAGCTGTTCTCCCTGGCGAGGCACTACACGGTCATGGTGGCGTACGCCGACGAGCTGATCGCCATCAACCATCGCGCGGGGCGTCCTCGCCGGCACCAACCTGCCGCAGGGCATCTTCTGCGACTGCCGCCCCGTGCCCGACGTGTGCGTCGCGTGGAACGACGCCCTGGCCCGCGGCGATGACGTAGCTGGCTTCTTCTGGCTGCGCGACTGGCCGCCCACCGACTCGTACGACTTTACCTCTGCCGACGAGGGCGCTGTTGCCACGGTCAGGCGCTGGCTCCGCTCGGTGCCCTATCCCGGCAGCAAGGCCAGGCCCGAGGAGGCCCTGCAGGCTCGGCGGAAGAAAGTTTGGGAGCAGTACACACACCTGGTACAGATCGATAGAGGCCCGTATGGACCCGACACACGACCCGGAGCTCGTCGCCATAGCCCACATCATAGCAACCGCGTCCGCCTCGGACCTCGCCTACGAAAACCAGGTGGTGATATCCGACAGGATCTACCGCGCCAGAGCCGCCGTGGACATCGACCGGATCAAGCTCCAGATGGTGCGCTCCCTCTGCGGCGACGGCACAGCGACCTAGACCTGGACAGCGGGGGGGGGGGAACTCGTTCCTGCCGCGCGAGGCCGGCGCCGCGGCCCTGCGCGCGGGGCCCGTGGCCGCGCAGCTCGACGCCATCGACAGGTTGGTAGGCGCCACGCGCGACCTCTGCACCCTCACGGCGGCCTTTGACTCCCAGCTTACTGGCCGGCTCAGGGGTGACGGCTGGATGCGCGTCTCTGCTGAGGTGTCGATGCTGCCGCCTGAGGAGGCCTGGGTCGTTGAGTATCTGAAGTACGACGATCCAATGAAGAGAGGGCCCTTGTCTACGCCTGTGCCTCCGCCTGCGCGGTCGTCCTCGCCTGTTACTGTCACGCTGTCGCGGATGCGTCTGGTTCTGCCCCATCTGACGGACTAGTCTGATGTCATTTTTGACCTGGCAAACGACATCGACGTCGATGCAAAGGACCACGCGGCGCTCTGCAATGGACCTATCTGGAGGCTTGTGGACCGGATCAACGAGGCGATGAGAAGGCACAGGGAGAGGAGCTATGCTGAGTCCTTGGAAAGAGAGGCTGCGTACTTGGAATTGCTTACAGAGGAGGAGCGTGAGGAGTATCTTTGCAAAGAGCAGAGGAGGGAGGAGAGAGTGGAGGAGAGGAGGAGGGCTCACAAGGCAGAGGAAGCTAAGAGGGTGGAGGAGGAGTAGGGGAAGGAGTGGGAGTATGTGTACTGGGGGGAGGATGCTAGGGATAAGCACTGGACAGAGGCGGAGGCAGAGGCCAAGGCCGAGGCAAAGGTGAAGGCGGCGGGAAAGGCAAAGGGAGAGGCAGAGGCAGAGGTAGAGGCTGCGGGGCCAGAGGAAGATGGGACAGATAATGCTGAGCAGGCTGGGCATAATGGCAAGTAATCTGGTTTTTATCTACTTTCTACATTGCTTGACTTCCATTTTGTTCTTAGGGTTTTCTATTTCTATGTAGTTATCTTCTCATACCTTGGTTTCTCCTTGCGCTTTGTCATTTCAAGCTACCTTTCCTTGACTGTCCCGTTTCCTTGCACAGTATGTTTCACTTGGTTGCAATTGAGATAGTTAGTTGGTTTTCTTTTGCAGTTGTGTCCCAAATTCCTCTTCTTTCTTCCTATCATCCTTTTTTTCCTACTTGTGTTTTCCTACTTGTGTTTTCAAACTCGTATTCCACAGTTTGTTAGGTATCAAATTTGATTGATCAGTTTTCATCTACCGTGTTCTGTGACACCTAGTGCTCGAAAATGACATGCCTTAGGCTTAAACCTGCCTCTTTAAGAAGCAAACGGATGAGAACATATTTTCTCAATCATCTTCCTTCCTACATCGCCTCCATCTTCCTTTCTACCTCGCCTCAATCCCAAATCCCATCAAGCTCCCATCAACAACATCAGCAACATGTCCAAGCTTTGCGACTGTGGCGTCCCTCTCAATGCCGGCGATCGCATCGCTATCAGGCTGATGAACGAGGGCAAGCCGTGGGAGGAGTATGCCAAAGAAGAGGTCGACGCATACACCGAGCTGATGGACTGTCACTGGCACTATGCCAAAGTCACCCCATCTGTCTCCTCCGTCGCGAGATCGAGGCTCCCCAGCGTCCAGCAACAGGGTTATCGTAAGTATCACATTCCTCAAGCCTCCCACCCCGATTTCCCACGCTGACGGCACCCGCTCGCAAAAACCAGACATCCCCGACGTCCTAGCCACGTCCCTCTCGGACATCTCCCAAGCCGGCACCCTCCCCGACAACCCCCTAGGCCTCCCCCGCCACGTCGTCTTCGACAAGAAACTAACCCCTCGGACCTCTCCAACTACGGCACCTCCCCAGCACCCCGACAGGCCTTGACTGCGCTGCCAACATGGCCAAGTATGCCGCCACCGCCGACGCCTACAAGGCTGCCACCGCTGCTCCTCCCCAGCAGCAGCGACAATCCATCGGTGGCGGCCTGGCCGCGGCTCGGTTCCCGCTCGGGACGCCGCCCCCGCTGATCCTCGGCAATGACTGCGAGGTGCAGACCATGACGAACGAGTTCATCGAGCGCAAGAGGCGGTACAACGAGCACACCAAGGCAGCCCTGGAGGAGGAGAACAGGATGTGGACCATTTGCGTGCGCTTGTAGGAGCTGGGGTGGATGCAGCAGGCTGTTGCTGGTGCTGCTGGTCCTGATGAGGTGGTGACGCCGCCGCCTAATACGCCGACAGGGAGGAAGAGGCAGCATTGGGGTGGGGGGAAGGACAATGCTAGTGCGCAGCAGGGTAGCGGTGAGATGGGTTAGAGGGTGGGATGTGGTTTGGAACAGGAGTATTGGATCTTGAGGTGGGATACATACCTGTGTATTGCAAGACTGGATGACAGATAGATGACTGGTTAATATCTTTCGGAACTACCACACATAATTATCAGTTTGGTTCTTCTAGCTTCAACATACTCAAGAAATTCAATGTCAAGGTTTACAGTGACATTCTCATAAAGGCGTGGAACTGTTTACCGATGGTGACTTGAAATCTTTCTAAGTGCTTAGACGATTGGCGCAAGGATGGTAATTATTAGTGTTCGGATCACCCACAATATCTGTGTCACCAGTGTGCCAATGCACAGTCCGAATGAAGAGTGAGTGAGTGCTCCGTGGGGAGAAGTTATGGAAGGTTACTACTGTTATATCTTGACTTGTACCTCGTGGCGCTCCCAGGCTGAAGGTCGAGGGGCTGGGGCAGACGCACCCCAATCCAAGCGAGTCACTCTAGGAGGTGTGGGGTAGGATGCTGGTCACGAAGCCCCCACATCCCCCCTGCTTTTAATGCAGACTATGCCCTTGCCATGGATCGGACGTGACTTCCTACCCATCCCTTCATTCGAGTACCGGGCAGGCGAGTGTTGACAATGATCGATACCATCGACTGTAGCAGCACCATCGCGGTTGTGATGCGTACTTTGTCACCATCCTGGAGCTCGAGGACGTGGATTGGTGGAGTCCTAGAAGCTCTTCGGGTGTGATATGGCGGGCGTGTTCCCCGACTGAGACCTAGGTCGACGGGACGAGGAATCCTATCCCGGTTATTGTTATTATCCGGCCACATGAGACTATCATGTCATACCATTGTGACAGTCGGGGAACATTAGGAAGGGCAGTACTCACCAAGAGACCCTCTCAAGAAAGATCCAGGCATCCCAAACGACGCCGAATGCGCTTGTTTACCGTGTCGAGGTCGGACAGCCGAGGTTCGGGTCCAAGCCTGCTTTGGTCGATAGCAGGCCTGGCGGAGTTCAGAAACAACGGGCCGGCGGTCTCGGCCCTTTCTAATCTTGAGCTGCGGAAGTAGCCTCGCATGGAGCGTTTCGGGCCGCTCGCGACGCCATCTCGCTGTACGGCATCGGTGTCGGTACTGGCGAGATAGGCCAGAGCTGGGTTATTTCAGGCAGCTGCTCATAGCTAGGGCCATGGACGTTAGCATATCCTAGCAGTTAGACCTGTGAGATGGTTGACGTAGGCCCTGAAAATTAGTGAGATGTGAACCAATGACGAGAACCCTAAGTTTCGATGTGGCAAATAGCAAATGGTAGGAAGGTGGGAGCGGAGGAGTGGGGCTGGTTGCGTTGTGGGGGTCCCGTAGGAGAGTTTGTGGAAGATGAAGCGGTTGAATAGCTGAGCCTAAACTCTTTTTGCCAGAGCAAGTCGACTGGTCCGGAGTTGGTGAAGAAGGAGCAGCCTTTTTACAGCGATTGGCGGCGTCGTTGTTTGCGGTCTTTGGCTGGTTTTCTGGAAGGCGTGACGACCTGAACGCGATAGAGAGCAGATCTAGGTTGGCGAGGTGCATTCTATTAACCTTCCCTGCCTCTGGTGGGTAGCTAATATGAGGCGGCTATGAGATAGCTGTATATCTTTTAAATGGCGGTTTGCACCTATACCAAGAAAGCTACCGTGACCATCCAGGGCACAGTTGACACAATCCCAGGTCCCCTCGCTACTACCATAGGTAGATGGCTGGCAGCGCTGTCATGGGAAATAGTCATGGCATTCCTCCCACTACCCTTCGGAGCAGCTGTGCAGACAATGGTGCTCGCCATGGGATTTTCTTCGCAGCAAGTGATGAAAGTATGCAAAGGCAGAATGCATATTGGCTGCATCGGCATGGGAGATCAACCCGTTGAGCGTTGCGGCGCTGGCAAAGTGGGTTTTATGAATGTAATGGCATTTACAGGACGGACTGTGATTGACGAAACTCGACTGTAAGAGACTTGGGATTATGGTCTCGGACGTCCGATGCTTGACTTACGATACAGCAATGTATGATACGGAATATGCGATACTGGATTTACAGTACCGGAACATAGGTACGATACCAAAATGTATGTATGTACGGTAGTCCATCTCGGAATAGACGGTACCGAGATTTACAGTACTGGAACTGAAAGTATCGAGATGAGGATGGTTTATTATGGGGGCCGACTCATCCGGCACCGAGATTTACAGTACCGGAATTGACGGCACTGGAATCGACGGTACTGACGTTCAGGTATAACAGACGCCGAATGGCGGTAACCCAAATTCCCACGCCATGTCTTTGAGATGAATCGTTCCCGAATTCAATGCTAACCCTAGGGAACAGTAGTGGGATGTAGGGAAGCGCCTGAGAGGGCAGAGTAAATGATCCAGCAAAGGGTATCACACGCGGGAGCTAAAACCTCGCGCACAACACTTTCGTCGATGGCCAGATGCTTTTTCCTGTGGAGTGGGGGTGTGATTTGTTGCAACTCCTTGCGAAGCGCATGGGGTGGGAATGAAGCTTTTAACGTGCATCTTGTAAACCCATGGGCTGATGGTCAGGAGTAGGTTGGGCGCGGAACCAGTCGGTCCGCTCGTCTGGCTGCCCAGCCAGTATTTCAAGTTTCGACGTGACGTCGAGGCGCGTCGGCCGCGAAAAGGACGGCGGCGCGGCCGGATCCGGGTCTAGGTCCAGGTCTATATCGCCACCGCCACCGCCTCCGAGGAGGTCAAGGGGCGGCAGCAAAGACGGGGTGGACGGGCTGGGGCGGAGGACGAGTCGTTTGGGTCCTTGGCGGGGCGGTGGTGAAGGAGCTGGAGATCGAGGTGGTGAGAGCTGGGACATTTCAAGCAGTTATCGGGCAACGCAACTGCATCCCTGGTTGATTACAGTACTGCTTTGTCCTATCTTTCCCCTAAGCTTGCCAGGCAAATGACAGCGCACTAATAGCTGTCGGATAAGTCAGTACACTACACTAGGGTTGGAAGGATGGATTGGTCAAATGCAGGGATGTGTCGGGTGGTTGGGACACTACACCAATCCGGCTAGGGGGACGAAAACTCTGCATCCACAGACATCCACAGTCACAGTACAATACCCACACAACTTTTTTGCATGCGGGCACGGGCCGATTGGGCACCTATATAATCCATCCTCCCCTCCCGCCTTTCGGTTTTCTTTTCCTCTTTTTTTTCTTCATGTCGACAATACTTCAGTAAGCCTCACCCAAGCTTCCTCCCATCCATCTAACACTTCGCTGACCATCCTTCCCCCCTTCCCACAGGAGAATCATTTCTATAGTATTCGTCTTCTTCTTGGTTCCCCAAAAGAGCCACAGATTCCACCCGGGTTGATGACCACAAATCCTCGACACCCTAGAGTGAAGCCTTTTCTTCTAACTCTCGCTCTGCCTGCAAAGGCGGCGGTCCGGCCTCGCGTCGCGGCTGTACAGAGAGTGGTGATGATCTCTACCCCGGTTTCCGAGGTCTTGCCTTTGGGCGCTTGGACGGGGTGGGTGTTGATGGACGTCTGACCGGCCTCTTTTCACTGTGCTCCTGGGCTGGTCTCGGGATGCGGAGAAGAGATGCTGCATTGAACCACGGTTTCCAACTGTACCATAGAGCCGCATGGTCAGGGCTCTGTCATCCAAGACGATACTGTTGAGTCCAGCGTGTGGGAGTCAAACATGGAGCAGGGTAGCGTCCCCAGATGCAATTCGGACGGAGGAAGGATGTCATTCCTTCTCGACGGTAACCAACATCGGACTTTATTGACCATCCCTTTCCCAGAAATTCCTAATCTTTATTCGGCATACAAAGAGTGTGCCGTCGGTACCTGCCAAGCTCTCAAACTAGCCAATGAACAGCCATATTACTTCCAGATTGGGAAGCACCCTTGCGCACGCACAGCCTCCTGGATAGAATTGGAGGCCACTCTTGAGTCCAATGATCATCCAATCTGACTAGGCTAGAGTTTTCGAGGCATTTGGAACCCGAAATCATTGCGCAGGATGTGGATTATGCGGTGATCCTTGGATGTTCGCCGACAAAATCCGGTCCTAATGCAAGAAGATCTACCTTACGGCAGAGTTGAACCGAAAACTTCAATGAAATGATATAGTAGCATGCACAGAATGGGACAGGATTCGCCGCGGAATAACTCTCGTCCTCCCATGATGACGTTGTTTCGATGGCGGAATAAGGGAGGGGACGCCCAGATAATCTATCCCAGGAACTATGAGATTGACCCCGCAAGCATCGTTCATGCCTGTGGCAGCATTCATAAACCAAGCCTCGCGCTCAGCAGACGTCTTTTGCAGTGGTAATTATCGCCAGTCACCCGACCCCCCTCCCACCAGAAGAGGTACCGTACCGCAGTAAGTCATACAAGATCTGTGGATATAAATTGCTAAAACTCTCATGCTTTCAAAACTCTCCAAGAAAAGTCCAGTTACACACTTGCAACCTAGGCGTTGAGATGTTAGGCGTCGCGGATTGAGGGGGTAGAGGATAGGGTTCAGGGGATGGCAGAATTAACTATGTTCACCGCCTGCGCAAACGCAACAAAGACAAACACAAGTAAAGTGTTTCTGTCTCCTTCACCTCCACGCAACCTAAACCAAGATTGCAATCTCAGCCTCGTTTCCCAGGTCATTGTCATCGTTGTCCATTACCTCTCTTTCTTGTTTCAACACAATCCTCGTGCCATGGCCGCCCAGGTTCCTGCGGCGGCCACGGCTGCGCTAGCCGCGTAGGCGGCCCAAGAGCGGTCCGAGTTCATCTTCCGGGGAAGATTCCTCGGGATGCTCCTCGCATCCAAGCGCTGCAAGCCATCGTGGACTGAAGGAGACAAGATCGCGATCAAGTCGTTCCTCGCAGCAGGGAGACACAGCCCCGACAAGGTCAAGATGCTGAAGGTGACGCCAGCGGGCGACGCAGACCTGAGATCGTTGGCAGCCACGCGAATGACGCCCCCAATTGCCGTGGATACCCTGACGCCGGCGGAGTAGACTTGCATCAAGCATCACATCGTCCAATCGCTACTCTACTACATCACCACCCTCACAAGTCAAGGCATCGTGCGAATGCGATTCAACAACGGCACCCAGTTGCGATACATAGAATGGCCGGATTCTGTCGTGGAGGAGTGGATATCCGATGAGTGGAGAGGAAACATCCTTCCAGTCGGGGTGCCGGAACCTCGGCGGGCCGACGACAATGGGCCCCGCGTTGTGGAGATCGTGGACGAGGCAGACATGGATGGTGATGTGGATATGCCCGACGTCGACGTGCAGCGAGGATGGGACGCCTCAGGCGGGGGTTACGAGTTCTAGCCACATGACCGGTTCGGAGGATCGGGTCATCCACCACATTTTCGACCGTCCCAACCTCGACCTCAACCTCCCTCAATTTACACCTCAACCTGCCCCTCAGTTTCCACCGCAACCTCGACCGCCACCGACTCTAAAACTACTCTCACAACATCCACCGGTTCCTCTCGGACGGCAAGTGTCACACCTACTGCCAGTGCCTTCCAACCCGAATCGACAAGATAGACCACAACAAACACCGCGCCTGTTTTTTGCGCAGGACTTGCAACATCGACCAGCACCGGCGCCGGCACCTCCAATAAATCAACCCCGGCCCCCAAATGCAACCAGGTCAACGGCTCATCAACCGCAAGCTCTGCCGCCCTGGCCTCTAAAGATACCGCACAACCCACCGCCTCCTCCGATTCAGCCCCAACCGTCCCAACCTCAATACCCGGCGAACCAGGCATACCACCCGCCACGTATGCTGCCCAGCAGAGAACTAAGGCATTACCAACAGCCAGTCCAAGACCAAACCGTAGACCGGCAACAACAGCAGCATACCGACAATACATTTCCTTCGTCGCCTGGCCCTCCCGCCAACCAACCCCTGCCTGTGTCTCAGACCCCAACAACACCGACACAAGCCCCCCGGCCGACCCACGAGGGTTCAGGCCGCCGCAGCATATATGTCTCTCCGCTGACGCTCGAGGTGCGCGAACAATTGAAGCACGAGACGCAGAAGCTTGAAGACTTGGCTGCCGACGCGAAGGAACAAGCAGAGCTGAAGCGGCAGCTTGATGAGCTAAAGGATAAAATAGCAAGCGGGGGTATGGACATTCGACGTGGGGCCGGACACGAGCCCCAAGGTGGTGACAGTCCTGGTGCGGGAGCTGGGGAAAAGGATGGAGGAACCGATAAACAGGTTGGAGGAGTGGTGGTAGGACAGGGGGGAGCGAATAAACAGCCGGGTGCTGTGGTAAACCCTCGTCCTGCGTCAAAGGCACAGAGGAGACGAAACAGGTATGGACCTCTCCTTTGTTTTGGTTTTGGAATGGATCCGAGAATAACTACTGACGGCGCGCAGGCGGGTCTGGCTCGACGAGCACGAAGTTGCCTAGGAGCTTTTCCTAAACATGCCGGGCCTTCCAAGGGGCATCTAGCAGGGTCTCCCCAAGAACAACCAAGGGCTAACTGCACCTGGAGAGACCCCTGGCGATGGCTGCGACAGGGGTGATGATTGCTTGGAGTCTACGCAGCGTCTAGACTTGCCCCTCAATCGTAACCGTGGGCCGAAGCCCGATGCCGGTGGCGCCGGCGGTGGCCATGATTCCACGGCCGTGTCTAGCCCCACCTCCCGGCCCGAACCCGCGGCCAGATCCCGGACAAGCATACCCCGGACCTTTCTCTACGGCGCGGCAACACGGCCAAGCAGACGATGACCTCTTCCGTTCTCCCGACTCGCCCGTCTCGCCATCCGTGTTGAAGCAGCAGCAGTCCGAGACTTGACGAGTCAGCAACACCTGCCTGCGTCCCAGCGTTAGCCTACTCTTCCTCAATCCAGATGATGGCTTCCAACTGCCAAGTTCCAGCCAGCCCGCACTTTCTCCCGAGGCTGCTACTACGACCATCCCGCTTAATCTATGGTGGTTTCTTCAATTGGGGTGATCTCCTGGCGATTGGAGAATTTGAACAAAGTTGGGTGCCTAGTTAATCATTTATAACTAATCCCTAGTTGTTGGGGCGGCGCTTGTTGTGGTTGTTTCCTGGGAATTTCTGTTTGCCATACGTTGGAAACCTGTTGTAGGGGCGCTCCTATTGCAAAACCTACAACTGCATTTTTCCTGACAACAATATGTTAGATTGGCATGAAACTGCATGCATATAAAAGTACTTCAATCAGAGTATAATTCTACTGCCTTAGAATTTTGAGATTGCTAATAGCTTCAATTGCACCGCCGCACAATGTGGATTTAGGCAAGAACGCCATCTCGCTTTCTACTATGCCATATGCAGCTATTGAGCGTAACACTTGTCTAACAACCTTTAGTGGTAGAAGATGAAAGCCTGGCAGTTTCAATTTCCCAGCGGCTGTCATTTCCCGGCAGCTTGATTGTGACCTGGTAACTCCTCTCCTGTTGGGGGATGGTACCTTTTTGAGTGGTGGCCAAGCGGTTTAATTATGGGGCCGTAGGATCGCTGGCTGGCTCTCAAATTGACTTGACATGGAGGTATTGGGTGGCAGGCCGGCAGCTTTCATGGTTGTGGGCCTAGCCTTTTTGAGGTGTTGCGTGGGTCATGGCTCAAGGTTGGCGCCATATATGCGGTTATGTCATAGCAACACACAGTTCCCTCTATGTCATTGGTCCTATCACTTAGTCCTATAACACCCCATAACAACCTGTGGTGCATGGCAGTGCACGGGCCCATACCAGACTGACAATTACATGGCAAAAGGAAAATTCCAGTTACTAGGAAAGAGGAAAGCCCTATTTCCTAGCAACCAAGTACTATAATAAGAGCCAATTTTGGACCAGTGCATTCCAGACATTTAAAGCTATCTAAGGATACCACATTAGACAACCTCAGCTGCAAACCTAGGTCTCACTAAAGCGTTTTTCTGTTTTTGGGTCAAAGGGGGCGCCCGAAAGACCCACCTCATAGGAAAGAAAGCAATTCCCAGCAACCAAGAACTGCAATGAGAGCCAATTTTAGACTAGTTTATTCCAGGCATTCCGAGCTACCTAGGGATACCAAATTGGCAGACTTTCGCCGCGGACCTAAGTCTCATCACAGCGTCTTTCTGGTTTTGGGTCAAATCCGGCCCGGTACATACATTTGACCCAAAAAGGGGAAATGGCGCCTCAATCGGGGCAATGAGCTAGCTTAGCGCCCCGCCAAATAAACTCGATCGTCGAGTAACGCTGCTAATCAGTAAGCCGCAATCCTACACCACACATCAATTGCATCAATTGTGACGTCGAAGCATGCAATGCGCAAACTAAGGCTGCGTGCTAGAAAGCATTGGTTATTCCAAACCAATTGTAAAGCTGTCGTCAATCGTGGTAAGTCATGATACACAGCTTGACCAAAACCCGCCCCATTTATTGCCCCAGCCACCGAAACCGACAGATAAGGTCAACGTCTTAATGTATAGTATATCAACATACACTGCACCTTTGATACCCATTCCAAGTCCTTTATTTACCGTCACTTTTGCTCTACATCATGACCTTAGAGCATATCTCCTTCATGCGCCGCTCTGCCTTTACCAGCCTATTGAAATGCCCCTGCCGTTCCTCCTGCGACGCGCTGAACTGCTCATACAGCTCCCCAAACCTCTCCGCTTTTGCTCCGCTTTCCCGTCTGCTTCCCTGTCTGCTTTCCTGTCTGCTTCCCCATCACTTGCACTGCTAGCAGCCGCCGTCCTTCCGCTGCTGTATCTGAGGTGAGTAACTGCCCTCATCAATCAAGGCCAACAGCAAACAACCCCATCAAGCCGCATACCTTCTTACACCCCCGCCCTTCACCGAGGGCCTAAGCGTGTCCCGCAACTTGGCCCTTGTCTTTAGCCACGTAAGCTCCAGCTTCTGCTTCTGCTTGGCCGTCAACTCGTCGAGCTAGTTGTCGGTGAGGCCTGTCGGGCCTGTGAAGCCCCTGACGCTCGACGACGGCATAGGAGACTCGGGCTTGTCGTCTTCATTTTCAAACTGCGGAACCCGCGCTGCGGCATATTTCTTTTCTCGTTAGGCGTGAGGGCCGGGAAGGCGATGTTCTTGTCGAGGAGCAAGCGGGCGGCGCGTGTCGGCGTGATATATATTCCCATGGTGTCTTTGTTGGTTATTTCATCTTCAGCTTAGCTTCCCTCTTGCTGCAACTCCATTTTCCCCCAATCTACCTCATAACACTACATTCCTTCTAAATGCGTCATCCAAACATACCTGTGTCCCATCAGTATAAATCCGTCACAATGTCTCTCGCAGTACGTCGTTGGTCGATTGAGGCAAGTTGTCTCTAGCTGTGTAGAGACCCTAACCGCTAACTTCCGCTCAGGTAACCAACCTCGACGCTGTCTAGATCCGCAACGTAAGAGCCAGCTCCTTCTGCACTGCCACGAAGATCACATAGACCCCCTCCAACCGCATAGCCATAGCCTGCCACGCCGCCCGCCACTGTCTTAACCTCTTCAGCGCACGCCACGGCACCCACCTCTCCGCCCTCGCCAACGCCTTCAATGTACTCTTTGTCTCCGCTAACTATCGCACCGCTGCCCGCCTCCAAGCCATCAACCAGATGCTGGCTGCCAAGGTCAGCAACGTGCTGGACTACCTCTTAGCCATGGCTGCGGGCAGTCATTGGGCCATCCTCATAAAACATGCGCGATCCAAGCACTGCTGCCTACCGTACGCGCTAGCCGGCGTCGACGATGGCTCGGGCGGAAGATGCGTTGGATGGGGATATTACTCTGCCGCAGGATGCGGATTGGACTAACAGAGGCAACGTCTAGGTAGAGGACAACAGAGACATTGTTAGGATTGAGGGCGTTGCTGTGCCGCAGGAATAGCTGGAGCAGGTGGCGTAGCCTGATGTTCCTCCGTCTGAGATTTCTAAAGCAACGTCAGGGACTTGTACTACATGCACTACAGCATCGTCCTGCTCTTGTTCTGGCTGCCAGGGCAGTGCAGCAGCATACACCTACCAACCCCTCCTCCGCCAACACCCTCACCCAACAGCTCGACCCCAGTTCTCGACGCCTCTGGTATTCGCATCCATCGCAGAAGAAGAGGAGGATGACGAAGGTAGCGGTAGAGGTGCCGAGAGCGATCCCTCCGCGCGCCCGCCGACGTCGCGCCGTCGGACGATGCAGACGCAGATGACGCTTGAGATGGGGACGTGGATGTTGGCTGCGTCGAGGCACAGTGGATATGGACATGGGAAACGGCATAGGCGGAGGATGGGGTTGCCGCGCGGTGTATGCCCAGGGCAACTTATCAACGCTACCTTCATGTGCCGTCTCAAGGCAATAACGCTGCCGCCATCTCATTAGATATGGTTTCATCTAGGCTTTGTTTATCCCACCACTGTCACGGTTGCCCTTGCAGATGAACTCTAGCTGCATCATCAGCCATCGCGGGGCCTCATCCTTGTTGCTTGTCTTAGAAGAGTCATGCTAGTTCGCTAGCCGCTGTTATCGGCTCTGCGGTGGTTACGCGATGGTCTGCGCTGTTGTTGTCTGCGCTGGCCATGATTTTGAAGGCACATATAATCTAGGCATCTGCCTGAGTGTGCTTGATGGTGATTATAGGACAGCTATAAGGCGTTTCCTAAAAGGCAGTGGATGAAAATGGTGTCGGGGGAAACTAAGTTATGAAAGGGTACCGATGATTTGACGACTGGTTAGACGGCAATCGAAAGGATGGCAGCAGCTTGTCTGCTGTGTGGTGTTGACTAGTATCCTAATCTGCCGGTAGTGGTTGCCTCCTAGCTGCGCGAGTCATGCGGAGCTAATCAGGACGAGGACAACGAAGACACCCCGGAAGCTGCCGGTACAGCGCCGGCTATCTTCCAGACCCTTCCCAAGGCGCACATGTAGAGCATCAAGGCCCGCGCCATGTACATAAACTCATTCCGCTACACGTCTGTCATCTTCAAATGCAACACCTTAGACTTGGCAGGTGCGCTAAGGGGATATCGTCGGTCAAACCTTGCAGTCCTTGCCTGCATGTTACCAGCTAAAGAAGACCCCAATCTGCAAGGTGCTTCCATATAATCCCGACATCCCAACCCTCATAGACCTGCCGACCGAGGCGGCGGGGGTGGCCCGCATCCCGCCTGGACACCATGTTGCGTACGATGGAAGTATTTCGGCCCCTAGCTTAAGTATTTCGGCTCTATGTACTGGTACGGATTCCTCGATTCCCAATTGCACCCAATCCCCACCCACACCAGGAGGATACACGTCAATCCAGAATGCCTCCGCAGACGTGCTTCAGTCCAGCGCACTCGCCTATCTGCAACACCGCCCCGTCCCATAACACGTCTGCGCGCCAGACGTGTGATGGGATGAGGCAGAGCTGCAAGACAGGTCGAGTAGATGCGCCCTACAGGAAACACCAAGCAGTCCAAAACACACTACCAACTACCTCTCCAACAACAATCATCCCATCAATCCACCTTGCCCTCTGGGGGGATAAAACCTGCCCCAGAAAGCAGCACACCAACCAGCAATCAAGTCAAGCTGCTGCCCCAACCCCCAAAACAAACACCAGCTAGCGCGCCGCGCGCCATCCCAAGCCCCTGCTCCACCCCACCCAGTCCCAACACCTCCCAGTGCCTCCCCCCCAGCCCCGCACCCCACACCACCTCCCATCCAACTTACCAGGGAGACAAAACACATAACAAAAGCCACGTATCGCCCCAAGCAACACCCAAACCAAAGCACATGGAACACCGCAAACGTGCAGAAGTGGAGGCAGACAGGAGATAAGGGGAGGGAGCGATGACTCCCCCTCTCTCCAGCCGCACAATCCCACTCCCGCACAAGCGGCTTGTTCCCATGTCCGGTGTGTGCTGCTCAGCGTGGCTGGTGTTTTACTCCCTGTGTGGATGGGGGGTGGGCGGATGCATGGGGCTGGTTGGAAGGGAGAGGCTTTTTTTTGGGGGGAGGGGGAGGTTGAGAAAAGGGGTGGGGGGAGACTTAAGGGGGGTTGGGAGGCGCTGCGTCGGCGCTGGCGGAGGACCGGTGCCTGGTGGGTGGAAGCTGGACGGACCTGGGGTTGGGCGGCGTTGGATGCGCCGGAGGAGGGGCTGCAAACGCGACTTCGCCCGATACCCACAGGTGCGGCAGCGGTGGCCTAGAGTCACACCCGGCCGGAGGGAGGGCCAAGCAAGAGGCCGGAGCGGGAGCCCGATCTAGAGTCGTCGAGGAGGAAGCCCTCTTCCATGTCCTCACTGCGGAGACCGGGGACGCATGCCGACGCCATTGGGGCCTGGCACGTGGTGCAATGGCAGAGTTGAAGGTGTTTTCTTCCCTTTGATAGGCGCTGGTTTGCAGCCTGACGGGCGTGGCGGATTAATTGCCCTGCTTGGTCCCCGAGAATGGGAGGGAGAGGAAGAGGTTCCCCGATTGCTGGGTGGATGGATGATCCGAGAAGCGGTGATAGTCACTTCAGGCTTTCTTGTAGGTGCCTTGCTTGGTGGGAAGAATGTGTGTTCTCCAAAATGAAAAGGCGCCGGAGGGGCTGCCTGAGTTTTGGACTGTAGAGACTGCTCAAATTGAGCCATGATGGGACCCCGTGAAGAAGGCAAGGTTGGTGGTCCAGGTGCCACCGGTCCAGGTTGAAATGCAGTCCCAGTTGAGCGTCTGGCCTGCCTCACCAGCCAACAGGATGGAATGTGCTGTTAAACTAGTTAGATCAACTGAAGTGGCATGAGGTTAATGCTTGGGATAAGTACCTTTGGAGACAGGATGCAATTGGTCCGCGCTCCATTGGAGAGTGGCGGACGGCCGGTGGTCAACAGGATCATCGGCATAAGCCGACCGTGATGATTGTGTTTGACCGGAGATATGTGGCAGATGATGCATGCCATGATGGATGTTTGAGTAGAATGTTCCCAGTCTGCTCCTGCACCAAAAGTGTTAGCTTTTGATCATGTGGTCCACAAGTTGGACATGTGGTTTTTGGGGCAGACGGGTTGACTTACTGTAGGAGCGTGTGGAATGAGCTAGTGGTAGGCAAATTTTTTTTTTTTTTTTTTTTTTTTTTTTTTTTTTTTTGCGTGTGGTGTTGCGGCCAAATCACGGCAGCAGGTCAGAGGTGCCAAGAGGTCAACCTTGATGTAAGTTTTGAGTCCTTTCTGGGCCATCTGATGGAGACAGAGGCAATGGACAATTTGGACATGGAGCAGAGATGGACAGATGGAAAGCGCGAGACGCAAAACGATGGGGGACGACGAGACTTATGATACATTTCGGTCTAGAGCAATACAGGTCATCATCACAAGCACGCCCACCCACACACCTACCAGCCCCCAAACTCAGCCCAGGAGCGGTGAACATGTCTTACCAGTCCCGGTAATGTTGACGCCATTGCCAACGTCTTGATCAGAGTCCTAAAGAGCGGTGAGGAGGAATGATCTAGCCTAGAACCAACTATATTGGATGGAATTCATGAGATCTGTCGGCGAGAGGGGAGGTTGGGGGCGCACTGTCGGGTAGCTGCCAGCTGCATGAACAGGTTCGCAGCTAAGCTGCAGTGGGCCGGTGCATGAACACGTTCGCAGGGCGGCATTTCTGGTGGGGCATGGGCACACTGCGATAATTGTGTCCCTTCCCGCGTCACGCTATCTATCTATCATCTACAGCACTCCCTGCAAGGACAAAATATGATAGATGCAAGGCTGAATCTTATATCTGAGGCGCTAAATACGACAGGTTCCATACAGAGAGTTCCACACGCACTGGATCGGAGTGATGAGCTGGCTTATCTTCATGCAATGTTGAAGAAGTCGGAGGCAGCGAGATCGGCAGGACCTTCCTTCTCCACTCCGGCGGCAACTCCATCCTTCCGGTTGATGGACAGATTGATAAAGAAATTGCAAGTTTCGGCGTCATTAGAACCCCACTAGATCATGCAGGCGATATCTGCTGTCAATTCCCAGCATTTTTAGCCCACAAAATTATCCCACGCTCCAACTCCCGAGTGGGGGCCTGTCTAGCTTGCAATGCGCGGTCCCAGAAGCCGTCGCCTGCATGAACGGGTGGTTGGTGCGTGTCTTGGACGACAGCAGAATGGCGTCTAAGTTTTCTTCACTCCACCCCACCATCAAAATTAATCTCACCTCCTCAGACAAGCACACTACAAAATGGTCAGTCGCTTTACTCCACTCTCTTGCCAGACACTAGACAGCAGGAAGTGGCTTACCTAGCATACAGCGTTTAGGGATCTCCCCGTATTTTCCAATCTGGCTTTAGAGTCAGGTCTTAGATGCCGAGACATTGACCTCCTTGATGAAGTCGCGTGCATTTTGAATACCTTCGTTGGGTTTTTCCATAGAGCTCCACTCAGTGTACGGCCGTTTTTCACTCCGTGTACAGCCTTTTTGAATTTCAGCCACAAGGTCCCACACAAGGCCCCGCAATGCTTACCGCCTACTAAATTTGGTGATAACCGACATTCCAACCACTCCTCTATAATCATTACCACTACTTGTGCTAGCAATAGGAAGTCAAAAACAGCACAAAGTTTGATTTTTCAATGTTTTGGTATGTACCTTTACAGCAAATTTACTAGAAAAAGTACATTAGAATACATAAGTGTAAAATTCCACCACTGTGTTTACACTTGATTCCTATCTACTTAGTAAGTACCATCTATAAGGCACTTGTGAGATCAACTTTGTAATTATCGTTGCCAAAGGGGTTGTCATCTAGCCTAACCTGCCTAGCTAGAGAGGCTAGGAGGCCTAGAGAGGCTAAGGCGCCTAGGATAGGGAGAAGTGTATAGTACTGCAGCCTGCCTGTAATGCCTCTGCCAGTATTAACCTTCTTTGCCTTTGTTCCGCCTGCTGCAAGGTTTTTCTTTAGCCAGCCTTGCTTTCTTGCCGTCGTCGTTGTCTGAAAAGCTGCTAGCGCTATATTTGATAGCAGCCTCTAATTACCAATATCCTCTGCAGTCAAATCAATACCCTCCTATTAAGATAAGTGACAGCAGCTACTAGCTAGTATATGCTGGTTGCCCTAGGCACTTGGTAGACTGTATGGCTTGGCAAAGGCAAAGAGCCTAGCACTTTGCAGGCGACTTTTAAGGACTTTAACTTTGAAGAGGTTGTGGATTTGGAAGTAACAGTCAATATTGTCCTATAAGAGTAACTCTGTTAGCTTGTAAGTCTAAATGAAGGTATCTTACATACCAAGTTGCGCTAAAAGTGCCAATATAGATAGATATCTTCAATCTTCACACTCTTGCTATCTTCTTCCAATTGCAATAGCTTGTAAAGGCAAGGCAGGCTATACTAAGCCTAGTAATGATTTAAACAAGAGCTAAGCAGTCTGTATAGCCTTATTAGTCTAGAGATTGCTTCAAAGGCAATTTGATGCTAGTTTTTTATCAAGACAAGCGCTTTAAGAAAAATCCGTCAAGGAAGATTGCCAAGGTAAACCTAACCACTAAATTCAAAGCAGACCTAGGTCTGTTAATCCTTTTCTTCACGCTCAAAGCTACGCTTCTAATCTTCAACCAGCTTCTTAGCTAACTAAACAACCTGCTTAAGGGTAGACTTGCTAGTAACCCCATAGCTCTTGAGACTGCAATAGGCGCTTTTAGTAAGTAATATAGTGCGCTAGCCAAAGTTAGTATACCAAGAGATATATGCCTGCGCTTATTCTTCCTTCTTTAGCATTACTATTTCTTCAATATACTTCAAAATTGCCGTCTAATCTTTAAAGTCCCTCTTTATCATAGCGTAAGCCTTGTTAAAATCACCTTTAGTCTTCCTATAGATAATGTAACGCTATAAGACAAAAAGGCTAGCCTAAGAATTCTCCATGCAGTTAGAAAGCTTGCCAATATTAACATACTAGCTAGTCTTAACATAAAAGTTAAGGCATTAAAGCTTATTGTTATCTTCTTCTTCAAAGGCAGAGGCAGTCGATAGAGAAATCACGCAATTGTTATTTCTATACTAATAAAGGTAGCTATATTCTAGCTTGTCAAGTGTTGCTGCAGGCGTAGAAGTAAGCGTAGAAGCAAGCGTAGAAGCAGGCGTAAAAGCAAGCGTAAAAGCAGGTAAAGGCATTTCCACAGATGCTAAGGCTAAGGCTAAGGCTAAGGCTAGAGGCTTCTTCTACTTCTTCTTAATATTCAACACTATATTCTTGTTGATATAGAAGATATAAAGCTGCTACTATACTATATCTCTATACACCTCTGTCAAGGCTATCTTAACGTTTGCTTCCTAGTCTGTAATAAAGACTCTAGGACAGGTAGCATCAATGCAAGCCTAAAAAGCCTTAAAATGTTAAATCAACTACTTGTATCTCTCTTTGCGCTTATTGTCAATAAATCTAAAGCAGGCAGTAAAGGTCTGGTTGGTATTTGCAACTCTAGTGACTTGGAAAAGCAAAAGCTAGTATTTGTTAGTCTTGTATATATTGTCTGCCTGTAAGACCTAGGAGAATCGCTTTTACTGCTGCTCACACCAAGAAAGCGTCTAAAAAAAGCCAACAATATAGCTAGAACTGTCAGAATTATACAAGACTTTATGCTTAATATCTTTTGCCTTAAAGATGCAAATTACAGACTAGGTAGGCGTATAACTATCATAGGCTTGCTTCTTCTGCTACGCGCAGAGGTTCTCAAGGTTTTTATTGGTAAAGACAGCGTTAGGAAATTCGTCGCGAAAGATCTAAGAGATATCGCGACTTTAGACTGCCAGGCTAGCCCTAGTGATCTAAGCAACGCGCTCTTTCTAAAGGTCTATAAACCCATAGTAGTTGTAGTGCTTGTCAGGCTAAGTAGAAGCTTTGTGATTCTCGTAATAGTCTTTGCCTTCCTTAATCTTCAAGACATACTTCTAGTCTGTCTTCTTAGTTGCAAAGGCATAAGCCTTTCAAATGCACTCCACCTTGGAAGTCGTATAAGAGTAAGCTTTTAAAAGGCAGGCATTTCCTTGGTTGCAATACCAGTCAACCTGCATTAGACTTCCGTCATGATACTTAGAAAAGCAAGTGCGTGATATGGCAAAGCCATAAGCTTTTGCCTAGTCCTTCAAATCGCCTTCAAGCGCCTCTAGCGAGTTGTACGGATCCTATAGGCAGTGGGTTACTGGCGGGTTCGAGAGAAGAGGTTTAGCCATAGTAGCAGCGATAAGGTTGATAAGGTTGGTAGGTTGAAAGGTTGGAAGGTTACTAAGGTAGGTAGGTAGGAAGGCAGAGTGCGATTCTGCCGGCAGTATTACATGGGCCTGCTTCCACTAAGGCGCAGGCGAAATTTCACCAATCAAATTGCTCAATTCCTCGCACGGGCCATATGGCCGTACACAGAGTGAAAAACAGCCGTACACTGAGTGGAGCTCTTTCCATATACTTGGAGATGGGATTTTCCCACCGCAAGTTGGCTTTAATTTGCCCACACCTGGCTGCCAACATAGTTTCTAAGAATCGAGTTGCCCTTTGTAGATCCCACGAGGTCAGACAGGCGATCCAGCAGTCTCAGGAGCGCTTCCAGTACTTCTAGGCAGCATCGCTTTCGATAGAGACTTTTGGTATTGGATGGTTTGGATTGGCAAGGTGTAGTTTCAGCGTGATGTCCGCTACTCAGAGTCTTGCGACAAGATAGTATATCTATGCGTTGTCTTCCAACAAGTCCTATCGTCGCCGTCGTCACCGTTAATTACCACTTGCAGCAGCATTCCCCAAGCGCTTCTATGGCCTTTCCTTGGTATTGTCTCCGTGGAAGAAGCAAGAGTGGGAATATTGTCTGCAATGTCGGTGGAATGTGTAACTATACAAGAAAGTATCGGTGGTGTCAGTAGTTGGCTATTCAGAGCTTGTCGCATCATCGCTGCTGTCGTCGGCACTGGCTTCCGCAGTTAACTTCCTCAACTGCGGGTGCGTACAAATCTACATTGCCGATGCTATTTCCTATGCCAGTAGTGACTTTATGTACAATCAGCACTATAAGACTGAACTTGTCAAACCCGAAAACCGGGCAAGTCTTCTGCCGTCAGTGGTCCGCATTGCAGGACCACCTGTTCAGTGTCGCCCTTAATGACACAGAGATCTGTGTGGTCCCAAGCTGTAAAGATGATATTTATCCGCGTCAGTCTCGTGGTGGCGGATCTCTTTCTGAAACCGGGCGATTTTCTTCAGTTGAATGTCACCGAGCATGAGGGTGTTCATGCCGAGCCCCTTATGGGGCTCGGTATTGGGCAACCCAACCGTGACCGACGTCCAACGAACGCATGCGCCATATTCGCAGCAAGCCGTAGTCGCACGCTGCCCGACTAACATCCCAGTTTTGCCATCCGCAGTCCCTGTTTTGGGCCACTTCCTAATATCGTGGTCCTTCTGCCTTTGGGCCTTGTTCTGGGCGCGTAATGGCTGTTAAGGCCATGCATAGCGACGATGTTAAGCGAGGGGGCAAAGTTACATAAGAAGTTGCAGGACGCGACATATGACGCAAGAGGCTCGAAGAGCTGTGGAGGAGAGCGACGAGTTACTCAACTATAAGGTCGACGCCACCCCACACCTCTCCGAAGCCGATCGGCTTGCCCGCACAGCAACAATGGCTGTAAATCCCGTCGTCGGTCAGGACTTTGGCATGGCTAGCATCAAGCCGAATTCCAGTGGGTTGACGCTGAAATGTGTCGAGTCCTGCGCATGGCGCTTTCTCGGCGCCGCTGAGAACTTGTACTGCTGGTGAATGGCCTCGATTAATTGCGCGTGGTCGGGCCCAAACTCGGATGTTGTTGCAGAATAGAACCCGTCCGTGCTAACTGTCGGGGTCTTGACCAGCCTCGAGTTCGTAATCGTCACTGCTCTCGGAGAAGTTCGGCTTCCCTGGCGGGGACTTGGATGGAAAAGTGAGGAGGCGAGGCCGATTCTCAAAGGCAACAGGACTTGAGCTTACTGTCGCTGAATTTAGAGAGTGTTAGTGCAAAGTAAAATGACGGGTAGAGTAGACCCATGCAAGGCAACAACAGCAACCCCGGCACAGCGCGCTTCATAAGGATCTTGGGACAAACCTGTACCCCAAGATCACAGCTCTTGATTCACGACGAAGTTTTTGCGATGAGCCGCCGCTATGTTGATGGCTATAATCCCACCGCTTCCAGGGTCGTTGACATGGATAGGGCCTCGATGCAACTTCCGAGAATCCGGTGGGCCGACGAAATCACGTCACAACATCACGCACACATCGCCACATGGAATTAAACGCGTTCCAACAACTCGTCTTCCTTCCAAACCACCTTCTCTTTTCCAACCACCATAACTTCGTCAAATCGAGGCCAAATTATGCCCCCGCAACGTCCTGGCCCGCGATTTCGACTGCTGGCTAGAAAACTGTTCTCCTGTACGATACTGATAATACTGCTGATACTGCCGGTACCTAGACCACCCAAACCTTCGAATCGCAGCTTCCAAGCAGCCGGCCTTCCAATCTAAACCGTCAACAACGAATATATATCCATTTATATGGTTAAACGGACCCCTGAATGTCATGCCTAGTCTTGGTGGACACATATAGCCCTGTTAAAGTGCATAAGGATACCCTTTGCTGGATTTTGGGTAAGCATCTTCCTCGAAAATGGAGAGCAATCAATCGCAATGAATTTTGAGAGGTATCTTGCAGGTCCCGCAGCTCGCTTCCTTCAGTTTCCGCACCTTCAAGGAGTAGCATCCAATGACCTCAACCATCTGCAGACTAACAACTGGGAAGACATCTGCCTCTGCCTCGGGCACGCTTGGCCTTGACAACGGCTACATCGACTGTCTGATCAAAGGGCCCGAATATCCCGAGAAAGCGACTCAAATAGACTGAGGACTGATGTCCGTATGTCTATGGTAGTCAACAATAGCTTCGATAATGCGAGACAGGCTTCTCGGTGATGGTGGCGGAGTCCGTGGAGCCGGAGGAGGAGGAGACGTGTACCATTATCAGCTGTAATTGGTCCCCCAGTCGCAACCTGACCGCAACAATCGATGGTGGTGGTAGTCACTGCTGTCACTCTAGGCTACCGCACTCAACCAGGTTGGCAGTATTGGCAGAATCCAGCTCCCTCACATCTCTCCCAGACGCACCAGACTTCCCCTTTCAAAGTCGTACTTTTGTCCAGGGCATGTTGATAATACGTAGTGTTGTCGTTGCATTCAGTTTTCCCGCCATCACCGCCTAGGCAGCCAATGCCTTCAACGTCCACGCGCTATCCATCCAGACCGTCAAACTGGCCGACTACTACGGCCGCAGCAAGACCGCATCTCCACCGCCATCACCCAACGCTGCTGTTCTGCTCGGCCGGCGCGGCCATCTCGGCCTGGCGGGTAATAAGTGACGGCGTAAGTATTCCATGGTCCTTAACATGGTTGTCCTAGGCATCCTGCGGATTGCTACTATACATAGCAGCATGGTTTCGTAGTAATTGGCGGTGCAGGGCCTATTTGGTCTGTCTATAGAAGATACCTATGCCAATGCGACTGCCATGGTGCTGCACCACTGCTTATAAATATTTTAAATGGTTCGCTATCGTGCCCTTCTTGCCCTCCCGTGTTCCAAGACTAGGCTGTCACCTAGTCTCTGCCCAAGCCAAGTCACCACAGCTGCGCACCAAACATCTTCACATAGCAGAGGCGACTCCACAGCAGGCGCAGCCCATCGAAAGCATAGCAAGAGACCTTGACATATACCTAAGGCATACACTAACCGCCCTACTCTACCGACATGCAGGTGCTGGTTGCGCTCAGCGTGGTGACATGGACTGGATCGGCCGGAGAACACGAAACTGCTGAAACCCGTCAGCCTCTGCGTCGCTGGTGGCAATAAGCTTGTCTAGCAAAGGTGAACCAGCTGTCGGCGAAGATCGAAATAGATGGCCAAAGAATCTGAAATAGATGTTGCTAGAGCATGCTGCTCTGCCCTGCGGCCCCACTTTAAGCCGGGCCGGGGTAGCGTAAGTATTTCGGACTATTTCAGCCTAGCGTAAGTATTTCGGCTTTAACGGGGAGTATTTCAGCTTTAAAAATCGGTGTCGCCAGGCTGAGGGAAACATGCATCCCACCAAAACACAAAGTTCACTACCATTGCAGCACAACAGATCCATTCTGTTTAGTGACTATCGAGAAACAGAGAAAGCCAATTGAAGGGAATCGATTGGTGATTATTGCATGCTATATGACGATTTCCCGTCAAGCTGACTTGACTTCTTGTCTCTGTCTCCGCGATGGGAACTGGAACGTGGGGATTAACTGTATACTTTCAAGGCTAGACGAGAAAACTACAAGCCGACGGGTAGAGCTTCCAGGATTAACTGGCGACACCGTGTCGGGATCTGGCGCTGTTGCGGAGGGTAACGTGACGAACATCACGGATGCCGGGCTTGTCTAGCTACAGACTTTGGATCCCGTTCATTTGGGTTGAAGCAAGGATGGTCAATTTTTGGTTAACTTGACAAGCTTGTCTTTCTGGATACTCCCCGCCCCCAATTGTCTGCGTCGAATCTGAGTTGGTTGTTGGAGACCTCCCTTTTTAACAGCTCTTCGGATCTGTCCCCTCGCACATGGGCAAGGTTGAAGAAGCCTGCACTATCATCGAGAAGGTTCCCCCCGGTTGAGCTCACAGCCTCACAGTTTTGGGAAACTAGGCAAAGAGGGGGCCTTGTTGGTGGATGATTCGAGGTGGGGGCCATACATACGCTTGGATGTTGTGAGGTACATGCTGTAATTGGTTGTGGTTGGGGTTTACTCCCTCACCTCATTGCAAGAGTCCATATGGCTATACACTTGTGCCGGTGGTGTAGTTGAGAGATAACTGGCGTGCGTAGCCTTGGATATAAGTCGATGAAAGGACCTAGAAGAGTCTTTATCATATGTTGATTGTTGTTGAGAATGTTGGAACTTTAACCTGAGATGGGGAGAGAGGGATTCATCAATGGTTTCCAGGGGTTGTTGTCCTCGAGCTGGTTGTCCGATACACCACAATGGTCAAGGACAAGCCCCTCCGTGTTGTTTCCATTGGTCCACACCCTAGGCCAGACAGATATGCTAACCAACTAAGAAACGGAGGAAATATGCGGAGACCTTTGAGCTTAATCAGGTCTCTCGCAGGAGAGCGATGGAGAATACGAGCAGACGATCGTGGAACATTTACAGACACAATAACCCTCCCTCACTTGGCCTCCTCATCGGTATACAACTTGGCCATCAACGCAACCCAAGCCTCACTCTTCTTAATCACGACAGCATCCCACCCATCCAAGAGAGACTGCACCTGCGCCATCTTGGTTTCAACCTCAGCCTTCGTCAGAATCCTCTCCTTCAAACCCGACCCCCCCGGCGACGAAGCAGCGTCAACAGACGTCTGATCAAACTCCCTAATCTTCGCCTCCACCTCCGCAATCAGATCCTCGACAGACTGCATCACCTCCCCCAGCTGCGTCACTTCCTTATCAAGACTCCCCACCACAAGGGCAAGGGCTTGAGCCACGTTAGTAGCCTGAGCGCAAGTCAACTGGCTCAAGTCAACAGCGTTACCAAACTCCCAGACGAGGTTTCCAAGCTCATTCACCTTCGCGCGCCGATCCCGTCTATCCTTGCGTTCGCGCTTCTCCGCAGCTTCATCTGCTTCCGTGGATGCCGGCACCGGTACGTCACCACCATATCCAAACAACCGCATCACCCTCTCCCCAATCCCACCCCCTCTCTCCGCCCTCTCCTCCTCCTCCCGCCTCTGCCTCTCCGCCTTCTCCTCATACCTCCTCTCCGCAACAAGCGCATCCATCCTCGCCCTCTCAACCGCATCCCGACTCCCCGCCAGCACCTCGGCAACACCACATATCGGCTGCACAAGCTCATCAGGCGTATACACGCGCAGCCCAGCGACAAGCCTATTCCGCCGCGCGTCAATACCGTCAGAGACAGCATCGTGGAGCTCGACAAAATGGGAGCGGGAGACGTGCAGTTCGGAGACGAGGAAGGCGGTCCATGGCTGCCGCTGGTGGGAACTGGTAAACCACCACCGCGGATCAATCCACCACCCCCGCCTACTCCTCTCTTCCAGCCCCGCAACAACCCCCTCAAACCGGCCCCCCCTCCCCTCCCCCCACCGCCGAACCCGTCCGACGAGACCCCCCACCCTCCCCGCGTCGCGGTTTAACACGCCCTCCAAAGCGCGGTGCATCGCCGGTGCGTCAGCGGCTAGACGCGCGTGTCGACTGGCCAGGGCGTCGATGTCGGCCTTGGACGATAGTGCGGACGCGACGGGGTGGTGGTGGGTGTGTAGGTGGGGGCCGTAGGTTGATGAGAGGGCGGTTAGGTGGGCTGCTGCTGAGGAGAGGGCTGGGGCTAGGGGGGAGGAGGGGAGGAGGGGGGTTGGGGTTAGTGTTGTTGTTGGGGGGTTGGAGGTGGAGGATGGGGATAGCGGGGGTGGGAAGGTTGGGGAGGAGGATTGGGAAGATGAGCTGGCGAAGAGAGATGCTGGGATGGAGAGTAACCCAAGGGCTTGGCCTGGGATGGAGACTACCCATGAAGACCAAGACGAGACCATGTTGGAGGCGGAGTTGATGGTCGAGAGAGCGCTCATTGCGCCGAGGAAGAGGAGGAGTAGCACCGCCGCGAGGAGGATGACGCAGCACCCCATTAGGACCTGGCTGCAGCTGCAAGACAGGAGGGAGAGGATGCCTGCGCTGGCGACGCCCTTCCGGGTCTTTCGTTTTGGCTCCCGGGATTGAGTGGGAGTGCGGTGCTGGTGGTGGTGATGGCCCGGAATGACGGGACCAGCCGCAGTGTCGTTCCCAGTAGGGGGAAGGACTCCGTAGTTGTGGGTGTGCGTCTCGTAATGGTTCGTGTAGTGCGTGCTGGTGTCGCTCTGCATGGTTGTGCTGGTGCTGGTGCTGCCTGTCGGGACTGGGACTGGCACAGGTACGAGGTTGGCCGACGCAAACGCCGGTGGCATCGATAGCGCGGATGGATTGCGGACAAGAGATTGCGCGTCGGAGTGCGGCTGGGGCAGATAACTGCGGGACATGGGAGTGTCATCGATGGCTGGGAGCTTCCCTCTCGTCTCCTCGAGACCTCGGCCGGCAGAAGCCAGAGTCTCAATGTCCGAGTCTTCAGGATCGGGCCAGCTGCCCGGGGCGTGGACAGGGTGCTTCTCCCCTTCATCCCGTCTGGCCTTCCCCGCGGGGGACTCGGACTGAGTCTCAGGACCCGGAACATGTATCGTGTATGGTGGGTCCTTGACCTCTTCCCCTTTTCTCTTGTCTTGCTGCGGTTTGTGTCCAATGGGATTGAGATTTGTACTCGCAGGTCCCCCTCCCGCTGCATGTGTTTGTCTGTGCGTCGGCGGCGCTGATGATCCGGTGGCGGTGGCGGTGGCCGAGGGAGTCTCGCGCTTGTTCCTTGATACGTCAGACGCGGCAGAGGACAGGCTGGACCGGCCGCTGCTCTGGGATGCCTGGCAGAAGTAATCGGAGTTAGCAGCCGGAGAGGTGGACGACCGCACGAATGTGGACGTGAGAATGGGAATGCATGGGAAATGCGATAGGACGGGGAGGCAGAAATGCGAGATTCGTACCTTCTCGCTGAGATTCCGACGGAGCTTCCGGTTTAGCTTGTCGAACGCGGCGGGTTTCGGCCGGCTGGGCTGTCCCGGGTCTTGGCCCGACGCGTCGGACTTTTCGCTCGGCGGAGCCATGCGGGTGATTGCGCAAGGCGGATGAGCGGACGACAGCAAAAGAGTAACGGATGGAAGGACGGTACTGGATGAGCGATGAAACTGGAATGCTGCAAGCAAAGGTTGTTGCAAGTTTAAGAAGGAAATGTGCTGGGAGGATGCAGTGCAATTAGGGAGAAGACGAAGGAAAAGGCGAAAGAAGGGGAAAAAAAGTACCGAGGGAAAAGTGAGGAGGAGTCTAAAATAAGAAGTCCCAACCGATAAGTCGCCTGTGGAAATGCAGGAGGACTGCGGAGTTGAGCTGTCAGTTTTCTTTGTTGCTCGCGGGAGCCTCCTGTTTTGGGTTGATAAACGGAGAGCAAGTTCAACTGACAAGCCGAGATGGTTAGTTTGTGTCTTTTGAGTTGTGTCTTCCAACCAAGTCCGTCTGTTCTCTTTCCCTTCTTCCTTTCCCACCAAGTCAGTCTCCATCTCAACCGCTGCTACATACACGATGCCGGCTAGAAACAGAATGCGGCATAGGCAGCCCCGTCCTCCCGACTCCGACTCCGAACCCGACCGGTATTCTTCCAACAGACGTGTCCCCAATACCCCCAAGTCCAGCATCCCCTTAGAAACCCCCACCATCTGGAGACCCCACCATCCCCTGTTGATCATCCTCGCCATCCTCGCCATCTTCACAATCCTCACTCTCAGCATCACCATCTTCACCAGCGACAGCAGCAGCAGCAGAGCGGCAGCCATCAACAGCAAGCAGCAGCAGCAATCAACACCAACCCCCCATCTCTCACAGGCCAGGCACTTCCCCCCCCCCCCCCCACCGCCGCCGCGTCTGCACAGCCCTTTACACCCTCCGCATGACCTCCCCCAGCAGCCCCGAGCTGGCGCCTGACCCGCTCGAGATCCTCGGGCTGGACGACGACGAAGCCCTGTTCGGGAAGAGAGGCGGTACGTCGGCCCGCGACGCCGTCATGCGCGCCTACGAGGCGGCGTCGCGGCCGTACTGGAACAGGGCACAGATGTGGCAGGCGTGGCTGTCCGCCGACGCGATCGGGGTCGGGGTGGAGGTGGATGTTGGGGGGGTTGTTGGGACGATTGGGGATGCGGGGTGGGATCAGAAACACGGCAAGCAAGATAAGGAGGAGAGGTTGTGGGCATTGCCGAATGACAGGGCGGGAAGGTTGGCTTTCCTGGCGGCGCTGATCAAGTCTGCGGCTATGCTGCGGGATGACGAGGCGAGGGAGCTGTATCTGGTGGAGTTTGTGCCGGCTATGGATGAGGCGGCTCGCAGGGCTGCGGGGTCGGCGTCGCCGCTGAGGTTGCTTAATGTTATGAGGCATGCGAATCCGTCTGACGAGGTGCGCCGGGCGCGGAGGGCGAGGGCGGCTGTTGCGAAGGAGATGTGTTGGGGCGTGTGGGTTTCGCTGTTCGCGGGGCTCGAGGTTGAGGACGGAGACGAGACGTAGGGGCTTAATGAAGTAGTCGAGCTGCTGAGTTCGGGATCATCTCCCAGGGCAGCAGTATATCAGGATGGAAAGCTGCTCTGTTGTTGTGGTGAGACAGGTGGGAAGGGTTCAATTTGATGGACGGTTGGCTGAGGAAAGCCGGGCCTGGAAAAAGAGCAGAGTCAGCTAGGTCTGGTTTAACACACCGATCCACGACTGTAGCCTACTAGATATGGATGTCCCCCAATCAACCGTTTGGCCAGAGCGATGCATGTTCAACGACGTGGCCCAACAACGTCGGCTCATGGTAGGAGTGTCGGTATGCCACGAAAATATTGGCTGCCGGGCCTTATGGGAGGACTCAGTGCGCACTGGCAAGGACTCGAGTTGCTCCGTCTGGGGGAGGGGATTTGAACAAGGGACTCGAGTCCTCGAGGGGACAAGTACCTAGTGCGTGTCACGTGCGTGACTTTGTGGCTCCGCACCAAGTACCGCTGGCTCGAACTTCTTCTGCACACCGGTTTCTCAACAGCCCGACGTTGGAAAAATACGTACTCTACTTCCTGCGAAAGCGCTTCAATTCGTCTACTGGCCAAAACGAGGCGCATTCATCTCTGCGCGGCAGATACAGTGTACTTTCCTGCGGTCGCATGCTAGGCGTGCTGACCCACCACCCCGCCTGCACGCACGGCTATTGGGCGGAATCTCATCCCACTGTTACCCAGATCCGGCCTCAAGCTGAAATCAGGATGCACCACCCCTCATTTTAGGGGACTGACCCACACATACCCTGATAATGTGCTGCAACCACCGTTTGTGCCAATATTGGATGCAAGGGACCAGTTCGTATACTGCACGATGCAGTAGAACGGGTGGGATGCATTATCATTCGTTGCATCTCGATGCTCTAGTTGGTTCCGACCCGATCGGTGCGGCTTATCAAGATATTCGTGTAGATCTTCTGCTGGCAGGAACAAGTGTGATGGTGGTGTGGAGCACTGTCGATCCCTCCCTTGGTCCCTGGATTTGCAGTCATGTGCCTGTTCCCTGACCACCAACAGAGCAACCACATGCAGGAGACCGGAGAGAAACCGGAGCACAAGTCTGGATGGTTGAGTCGCACATGTTTCGGCTGGAATTTGGCAGGGAGGAGAGTTGGTGATATCCGATCAGCTGTGATCCCGTCACGGTAGTAACAAGCGAGGTGGCTGGAAACTCCAGCGACGCAATTGGCCACGCGATTGGGTGTTGCTCCACGGATTCCTGAGAATGTCAGCCACTCTGCAGATCCGTATTTGAATCACAGAAGCACCACCCCGTCACACAGTGCACTGTAGCGTCAGCCCCTGCAACGGGTAGCGACTCTCGCATCCATGAGTCACGCACAGTGCCTCATCTCACATGTCTCTGTGTGCGCTGTGCCTATTCACCGCCGGAATAGTTTCGGGAGTTGGCAGGCTCCATGACCAGCTGTCTGCTTGAGCTGAGCTGGAGGTGCTTCCGCCAACTTCCGAGTTCTGCGCACCTCAAATCCCGCCGTCATGAGCGGAAATAGTACACGGATTGAAGCGTGCCATTTGGAACAACTCCCACCTCTGAAGCATCCTGGCTTGTTGAGATGCGGATTTCTCACTGGCAGATGGGAGAGAAAGCACATATGCGGATGTACTATACTATATTGTACATTGCTGCAGTTTATGTCCAAGCTTCACAGTCCTAACCCCACACTAGCCATTCACAGCGATCGGTGCACTGACGAGACTGACTGCTATCGGGGAGCTGGGGGTACATGGGTACACTCGCTGATGCATATGGGGTGACATTACCGTAGGGCGGATCTACCGCTGGAGTACTGTACCTCCGTACCTACTAGTGCGGTGGATCGTGCAGCATGCCGGCACTCCTCCCTCCCTTGTAAACTGCTGTAATACTAGACCATCCATTACCCCACTAATGCCGATCCCTCATCATTCCCCCAATGTGGCATCACATTCAATCCCCGTCGCATTCGTTTGCTAATTATCATTTCGCTTTTCTCACATTTCGCTTTTTCTCCTTGTAATCCGTAATTATCTGCACTTTCAATCGGAACCATGGGTGCAGACATCTCGACCGTCTTTGGCGTGCATCCTCGCCGACATTCCATGCCTGCCAGAGATTCACTGGCCCAACGCTACAGCACCAACAGCATCCCCTAACAGTACCCCGCCGACAAATTCCTCCCTTGAATGCCCTCGAGCGCCGCTTTTGTGGACGACTATGCCTTGCACCACCAACAACACTTGGTTCGATTCTGTTCTCGGAGGACAAAGAACAAAGGAGCATAGGCAAACCAGCTCGACTATCCCATCGCTGTCAGGTATTCCCCCTCTGCTTCCCCCGCTCCTCTTTCCCTTCTCTCTCGATTATCCATTGTCAAACAAGCCAGTACTGACAATCATGGCGACTTGGCCCGAGTCACAACAGCGCCCCCCATCATTCACAACATCTCCGGGTCCTGCTTCTCCCCCCAGCCGCGGGAGAGCTTACGTGGAATACATTGACCCCGCCGACGCCGCCATCCTCTCCGACCCTTCCTTTACCCCCCACCCCGACTCCTTCGCGGCGCTCCGCTTCTCCGCCCGCTACAGCCTCCACCCCGACGGCCGCCGCCGCCTGCAGCCCGTCGAGCTCTGCTTCCACGACGACTGGGATGCCCACCCGGAGAGGCCTGTCTCGCTGCACTTTGGCAACGGAGACGCCGTCACGCGGCACGAATGCCCACCTCCAAACCTGCCTGCCCCGGTGCCGCCGGGCGCCATTGTCGAGGCGGGGATCGTGGATGTCGGGGACGCTGTGCTTTCGTCGATTGAAGAGGAGGATATACACGATGCGGGGGACGGTTGGGATGCATCGGTGGCTGGTGACAACGGCCGGATGAGCTTGTCTCCGTCGCCCTCCCCAGGCTCCCGCTTCTCTCCCTCGCCGTCGCCGCACCACCGGCTAGACAGGTTCGAGCAGGTCCGGTCCCACATTTCCTGGCGAACCCTTGCCGTCGCCCTCGGCGTCGCCATCGCCGCCGCCGCCGCCTGTTTGGGTCGCCAACCCGCTCCTGTCTGCGCTGTCGAGGTGGAGATCGTCGACAACATCGCCGTCCTCGACCTCCCCTCCCGCCTCGTCAACCTGCAGTCCCGCTTTGGGAGCATCGGCAAATCCATCGCCACCGCCGCCCCCTACCTCAACCCAGACCAAGTCGGCGAGTTCGCCTCCGCCATGACGGCGCTCAGGCTTGCACTGGCGGGGTACTACCGTGCTCTCGCACAGCACACCGAGACGGATCTTGCGTCGGGGGCACAGACGATCGTATTCGACTACAACCACCTCGCCCGCGAGTCCGACCTCTTCAGCGCCTCCATCTCGCAAGCCTCGGAGCTATGGGTTCCCGTCGACGCATCGCTGCGCGGGCAGTGGGCGCGCATGCAGGCGGTAGACACGTGGTCCAACGCGCACCACCTGGACCTCCTCTCGCCGTGGGTGTGGTGGGGCCCGCTCATCGACGGCGAGCCCATCGACGGGGCATACCTGCTCTCCAACACCAACTTTACTGCTGGCGAAGAGCTGCTGCGCATCCTGCCCCTGCGCACGTCGTCTGCTCCACCCCCCTCGATCATCAGGCAGATCCTCGCCATGTACCGCGCCTCCGCCACGACGGGGATGAGGGCGTCGGTAAAGCACCCGGCCATGACGCCGTGCGAGTTCTGCGCCGCCGCCGACGACACGCTCCATCCCGCCTGCCAGGACACCGCCACGTCGTCCCCGCTCGCCAACTACGCCGCCCAACTGCGTCGCCGCCTCCCGCCGCTGGCGCTGTACGCGGACATGGACCCCCACGACCTGCCCCCGCTGTTCGGCTCCGACGCCGACGCCGGCATGTTGCCGGACAGGTTCCCCGGCGAGCCGGACCTGTTCGCGCTGGGTCGCCACCTCGCCTCTGCGGCTGCTTCGGCGGAGGAGATTGTTGGGATTGCTGCGGGTGTTGTTGGCGGGGTGGATGCGGATGGGAAGGGGCATGAGAGGGTTTGTGCCAAGTGGCGGGATTCGCTCAGCAGCACCGACGGACATGCGTCCCATTGGGGGTTTGGGCAGGAGTTTAAGGCTGTCGTGGAATACGACTTTGTCGCATACACTGGCGAATCATCGGTTGTGTCGCGGGTAGGGCAATGGTTGACCCCCTGGTGGTCCACCCCCGACAACCTCCTCCGCCGCCGCCGCGCCCTCTTCAACCGCTTCTCATCCACCGAGCTTGCCTTTGACGACAACAACCCCCCAGACACCCCCTACCTCCGCATAGCAGCCCACGTCCTCTCCACCCAAACCAACCTATCCGATCCCGCCATAACAGCCATAACAGCAAAAATCACATCCCTCTACTCCTCCTCCCGCCTCGCAGCCGCAAGAGCCGCCGTCGCCCTCGCACTGTGCGGCAACCCATCCCTCCCACCCCCAGCAGCAGAACAGGAGATGGAAATATCCCTCCTCCCCGCCACATCCGGCGCCTCAACCCTCCTGTCAGGCCCCATCCACGCGCAGATCGACGCCCTCGAGCAGGCATTTGCCGTCTTCCGCGACGTGTGCGCCGGGGCGGCGGAGCTGGTTGGTCAGCTGGATGGGCTGGGGAGGGGGGAGGGGTGGGTTAGGGTTGTTGTTGGGGTGGATGGAAATCTTGAACAGATTGGAGAGGCTGGGGGGCGGAGGTTGACGGCGACGGTGTCGAGGACGTTTCTTGTTTTGGCGCATCCGACGGATCAGGCTGCGGTTTTTGCGGAGGAGGGGGAGAGGCTTGTGGGCGAGGGGGGGGAGGTGGATGGGTTGTATGCCGGGGCGGTGGGGAGGCGGAGGGGGGAGGGGGAGGGGGTTGTTGGGGAGTGGTGGGAGGGGCTTGGGGAGGGGGAGGAGGAGGCGGGGGAGCTGAGGCTGCTTGATGGGAGGGTTGTCAGGGTGAGGCCGGTTGTTGAGAGGGAGGTATTGGAGAGGATGGGGGGTTTGTTGGAGACTGTGAGGTGTGTTGGGGAAACCGCTGAGGAGGAGGAGGATGGCGGTGATGATTAAGTGGCGGTTGACTCTCCTTGGGTGGTTGTCGTGTCTTGTTCATGCTGTTCTGCTTCCCTATATCTCCTCTTGGTCAGTCCTGTTCTGGTATTAGCTTTGTTCTGCCACTCGATATTTAGTCTTGGTCGACTCTTGGTCTTCATCTTTCAAGGTGTTGTCCTATCATCTGCCATGTTTTATCTTAGTGTTTGGTTCCAGTTCCAGATCCCGGCTCTTCTTTCCGTGCTTCTTCCTTGGAATAGCCTGGTTCCATTCATCCCATCACTGTTCAACGTTCCATTCCAGTCTTGGATCTGTGGTCTGGGTGGCTTAGTCCTATGTTTTCGTCGTGATATTTGTAGTTTTATCAGTTCCTGACTAGGTAATTCCCAGCGATACTGTCCCCAACACTTGCCCCCTCCCATTTCCGCTCTAGACCATTGCTACAGAGCATCCCCCTTATAGCCTAGCCGAGAGTCATTGCCCTGGTGACCCTCCTAGCCCCTATTCTCCGCCCGGTCCTCATCGTTCCTCGCCCCAGAATGGTCTGACATTTTGTCCTTCCATTCGGTTATTCCATCCCGGCTTCGCCTCGCCGCCAAGCTCGGTAGCAACAACACCCCCAACTTCGCCAGCTCAGAGCCCTCGCTCCGCCGTAGGTCGGCAACCGTCACTCGAGAGGCCTTTCTTCATGGGCCGAGAGGATGTCCCCGCGATGGGTAGCCGGTGGGCTTAGACTTTCCCCGGCTTTGCGTCGCCACACACACATATCACGGTCCTAGTTCCAGTTCAGCCATCGGCGTCGCGGGACGCGTGTGCCACGGCGCAGGCGAAAAGGTCGCGCCTCCTCAACTGCATTCTTTTATAAATTCAAGGAGGGGGCGAAGGGTGTCGTCGGCGTTGTGCTCTCATGGCGGCGGGGCCCGTCTGTAGAAGCGGGGCCGGCTCCGAAAGTGGGGTCGTCTCCAAAAGCGGGTGGTCAGCCAGCTGTCGACAAAGGTTCGCCATCAGACGCCAGATTGTTGCCAGTCTCTTGTCATGGTTGAACCTCGTCGTTACTACGAGTCTCAGCCTAGTCTCGGTCGTCTTCTTAATATTGCTCTTTACCGTTCTCCGTGTTTCCTTCGTCTCGGCGTCCGGGCCCGGATTATGTCGGTCTTTGGCTTCCTCTCTATTTCTATGCCCAACTCCGCTCTTGCAGTCTTCTCATTTCTCACGTCTCTGCGGGTCCGCTACCCCGAGGTTCAATGTTGTTCGAGCCCCCGGTCTGGGAGTTGTACTATCCTTGGTCATTGATCCTGTGCTTTGATGCCGCTTCCTGGTCCGTCCATTTGCGAAACGCACATATTGCTGCCTGACACCGGCCTTCGACCATACCGTGCCTTTGGATTAATATCGTTGATCTTGGTAGTAGTCTTTGCCATTGTCCCAGCCCTGGTTCCGGCCCGCCACCCTTTGATTCTGGTGTGTTTCTCCAGTGATTTTTTTGCGTCCTGCATTGGGTTCCCAGTTGAGTCTCAACTTCACCTCGGGCGTGAGTCTCAGCCGGCTCCCAGGCTACAGTCTGGGACTGAACTCGACCTCTCATCCGTTCAAGGTCGCGGCTCATCCCTGTCCTACCCAGTTGGTCCCAATAACATTCTCGGTCCCAACCCTCAACCTGCGTATTCCATTCCGGTATTCTTCCCCGGCCTGTCTCGGCTTTACTCCTAGTTCTACTCTTGCCGCAAATCTCGCACGTCGCATACGTCTTGGTTGAGATCAGGCCCAGCAGGGTAGCAGCGGTAGCGACATACAAGGTCAGTACCGACGGCAGGAGGGAAGCGGTGCCAGAGTGGGTACACGATCCAGTATCCTGCAAGTTCAAATCGCCCCCTTGCATCTCTAACTTCAGCCGGCATGTATAATACTACCATCCAGGTGCCTAGCCTAGGATGGCGTCAGGTTTGGCGGAAACCGCTGTTGTCTTATAGCCATTGCCACTGCTCTCTTCTCCACCTCCTCCGCCTCCTCCGCCTTGAGACACCGGCGATCCGGGTCTCTGGATCCCAGTCCCGGTATTTCTTGACGGTATTCGGTTCCTAGTTCAGTTTCGTCGTTGCTGTAATTACTGCCTAGGTCGGTTGGGACATGCTCCTGTCCTAGCCTAGTCCCAATGACATTCTACACCCGATTGTCTTGGAGCCCTCGGTCTTAGGCGTCTCTCACACGGTAACCGGCCCTGGTGTAGGTGTCCGTCCTCATCTTACGCCGTATTGCCTCCGTCCTCTCCCCAGGTTTCATCTCAGTGTTTGGAGATCCCATCCCCCCCCTCTTTCCGGGGTCTTTCCCTTCTCCGATATCATCCTCCCTCCACGTCCACCTTACCGGATCCCGATATTTGAGCCCGTGGTGGTGTTTGTCGTCTTCCCAACCCCGATCGTCATCTAGCAGAGTGAAGAAACAAGAGGAGAGTCAGGCTTGGCTGGCCCTGTCGCTCCTGTAAGTATTTCGGCCTATCTCAGCCTAGCGTAAGTATTTGGGACTATTTCAGCCTAACGTAAGTATTTGGGACCATTTTGGCCTTAGCGTAAGTATTTCGGCTTTGAAGGGGAGCATCTCGGCTGGGATTGGAGGTAGGCACACGTGGGAGATGATAGGAAGAAGTGGAACGCCGCATGCTTGTCCAAATACTAACGTTGATGTACGGAACCGACCTGAAAATACCATTCTTATGCTAAAGCTGGGTACCTGCGATATCCGTCTGCCAATCTCATCGCTAGCGATCCCATTCCCAAACCCAGCACCCGTCACAAAGTCCCAATCAAGCTCCCTTCCCCTGCACTCCCCCCCCACCGCGATTCTCCCCACCCCCACCCCCACGCACACCCCGACTCTCCTTATCCGCATTCCGCCCGGCTCCCCCCCGATGCCCTCTCCGCCGCGCCGACGTCGGCGTACCCGGTCCCCCTTGCCTCGGAGCGGGAGCAGCACCACCGCCGCCGCCGGCGTCGAACCAGCCCAGGTCGTGCAGATACCCGCACAGGGACCACAGCTCGGCCTCGTCGCGCTGCAGCGTTTGCATGGTGCGGTTCATGCGGTAGCGGATGGCGACGAATTGCGCGATGGCGGCGTCGCGTTGGGCGTCTAGGCCGTCGTCCTCGTCGTCTTCTTCCTCGCCGGTGTTGGTATCGTGTAGGGGTGCTGCTTCATCTGCTGCTCCTCCTCCGTCGTTGGCTACGATGTTCAGGGGTCGGAGGTAATTATGTTGGGTAGGGGGCTGGTGCTGACCGTGCTGCTGCTGCTGCGGGAGAGAAAAGGACCGCGGCGCGAAAAACGGAGTCGTTGGAGGTCGCTGTTGCCGGAGGGGGGACAGCGGGAGCGCACGCCTGGGACTCGGAGTGGCGCCGGGACCGGGCCTGCCGGTCGGGGACACAGCGGAAGCCGCGGCCCTCGCATTGGCGGCTGCTGTTGCCTCTGCCCACTGAGCTGTTGTCTGCTCCTGCTTCCGGAGGAGGGCGCGGCGGGGGAGGCCGGTGGGGCTGGATGGGAGGGTTCCCCAGTTGGAGAGGTCGGAGATGGAGGGGGCTGGGTTGAAAGATGTTAGACTGGGGATCTTGTTTGGGGGACTGGGGATGTTTGGGTGGAACTTGAACGTGGGGCTGGAAGGACAAGGAAAGGAGAGGGGACGGAGGAAGAAGATACTCACCGACAGTCGCCAGGGAATGGGCGCGAGAGAGACGCTTGGCCACACCCCTCGACTGCACTGACGACTCTCCGGCGGTCGTGGCCTGGTCGTTGAAGTGCGGGTGTCGCCGAAACAGCTCCTGCCAGAGTTCTTGCTCTTCTGGCTGGTACTCATCCCAGGACCTGCCCTCCTCAATCAGGCGGATGACAAGTCGGTCGCCGGCGTCGTAGAGACACTCGCCGTAGGGGTGGTTGCACTGGGACATGATGACGATGGGACAATTACACGTGGGAGTTTGGGGATACAAATGGAAGGCTGGGGGGGAGAGAGATAGCAAAAGAGAGTGTGGATATTTGGATGGATGATGGATGATGGATGGGGGCGTGTTGAAGGCAAGAAGGAACGAGAAATGACAGTGATTTGAAAAGGGGAGAGAGGGAGGACCGGAAAGAGAGGGAGAGAGAGAGGAAGAAAGGGTGGAGACGGAGAAAGCAAAGAACAACATCCGCAGAAGGGTCAACACGACTTGTCATTTTCGCGTTTACCTCTATCGTTTCCGTGTAAGCTGTGGGTCATCCCGTTTGCCAGGTTTCGTCCAATAATTACATCCCACCACACGGTTTGAGATACCCAGCCGCTACAGTACCCGTTCGCACTGATCAATATTAAGCTACATCAACCAGGATGAACATGTTCGATTCCCCGTTCCATTATCCATCACTAGCAATGGTTCATGCCGGTGGTTGGTTTAGGTCCATTTGCTTCCGCTAGCCAGCCCCTCCAGAGTTGGGCTGTTGGATGATGTAGGAGGTGGTTCCCGCTGTCCCACAGCAACCTTGTAAGGCGGCAGGTAGATAGGCATGGACCGGGGAGACCAACAGAGAGGTACATGCAGTACTTGCATCGCATGAACTGACTACTAGGAGGGACAGTTCCAAAAATCTGCAAGGCAATCAATCGCACTCTCACCGCATAGTTGCCCCTCTCTCTCCTTCTTCGCCGCCCGACTCGCAAATACCTCCATCACAATCCCATAATTAATTCCCCCATCAGTAACACAATTCCACGCCAGTCACACAGAGTCACGCAGCTATTCACCCCAGCACACATGGAGCCCGACGTTGCCATGGCCGACGCAGACGACGACCGTTCGCAGCTTCAATTCCGCGGCCGCTGGCTCGGCATGCTTGCGTCGGACCCATCATGCCGTCCGTCCTGGACCCAGGGAGACGTGCTTGCCTTCCGCGTCTTCCTCGCCGCGAATGGCCACTCCCGATCGACCGTCAAAACCCTCCTCATCCGCGACGGGCCCCTCCGGGAGCTGAGCTCTCGACTAGCCCCGCCCATCGACGTCGGGAGCCTTGCCGGCGAGGAGTGGCTCGCCGTCAAGAAGAAGCTCGTGTCGGCTCTGGAGTATCGGCTGGGCGAGCTGGTTGATAAGGGCGTCGTGCGCAAGCGGTGGGATCCGGATCTGAAGAACGAGGTGGTTGTCTGGCCGGATGCTGTTGTGCAGCGGTTCACTGCCGTTGGTTGGTCTGGGAATATACTCTCCCCTGACGTAGCCGAGCCGAGAGTCGCCGAGCAGAGGGGAGCCTGGGAGGTGCGTGGTGACGACAACGTTGATGCAGACGGCGACCTGGTCCTGCAGAATGCTCCGCCCAACGAACGGGAGGGACTGGAACCGGGCCTGCCACTGGGATCGGCACCGCGACCGGATCAGCAGTTGGGAACACCTCCCAGACAACGCGAACGGGATCGCCAGGTGGATCATCAACAAAATCAGCAGCAGCAGCCGCAGCATCACCAACAACAAGAACCACAACGACTGTCCTTTCTCGACAATCCCACTCCGCCGCAGTCCCATCCCCGCCAGCTCCCACCAGGTCCTCGATTCCAACCCAAGCTCATCTCCCAGACGCAATCCAAAGCAGGTCCCACAGACAAGTCCCAACCCCAGCGTCAATCCCGCCACCAAGCCACACCGATGCGCGAGACCACCCCCCACCAGTCATTCGTCTCCCCACGCACCCTCGCCCTCCGCTCGCGCCTCGCCGCCAAGGTCCAAGCACTAGACGACAACGCAGAGGCCGAGAAGCGGCGGAAGCAGATACAAGCGGATGAGCAGGAGGCGGCCGAGCTCGAGGTCCAGCTGCGGGCCATCGACGTCGAGGAGGCTAGGGCCAAGCGGGAAGCCGAGCACCAACTACAACTCCGGAAAACCCAGGAGAACCGCCGCCGGCTTGAGCGGGAAGACGAAGAGCGGGAGGAGAGGGAGATGGAGACGCAGGAAAAGGAACACCGGGAGAGGAGCCGCAGGGAGAAGGAACAGGCACAACAAGAGAAAAATAAAACGGCCAATCTACCACGGGGCATATCAGAGTCGGCACGCGCTGTTTCTCCGGTGACTGAGGATGGCACCTGGACCGCCGAGGTGGAGGTTGCCGAGAAGTTAATCCAGACTCCGATGACCCCGTACAAGCCCCCGCGCTCCCCATCCGAGGATGGACATGGACGCGACGATGGAGACAAGGGCGGCGGGGTCATTCCGGCCGGCAGAAGCAGCGGTATTGGTGGTTCTCGCGTCGCCGAACTCAAAAACACACGCGATGAGGACAATCCAGACCCAGGCCACCGCCGCCAGGATGATGAGGATGACAACTCCTCAGACTCCTCGGCAACTGCGGCTCAGCGAGGTACTAAGGCAGGTCTTAATCCCGTCCCCCTCCATCGACCCAACATCCCCGGCCTCGCTTCGTCCAGACACGCCGTGCATCCAGTCAACCTGCTAGATCAACAGCAGCAGGAGCCATCGCCTCGACCAGTGGTGACAAAGCCCTCGGCCCTCCACCAACTCACTGTTGATGATGTGGACAATACCCTTCTTACCGGTGACAATCTGGGGTCTCCGTTCGATCCGCGGCCGGGTTTGGGAGTTCTGGAGGAAGTCCAGCAGCAGCACTTCCCCGGCAACCGTCCAGGGCCTGCTCCACTCCATCACCGCGGGACCGGAATCGGAGTGGGGGCCAGCACTACCGGTGGAATGTCCAGTATCACCGAGGAAGAACCCGGACCACGCTTCCGTCTACCCCAACCACCACCGCAGCAGCAGCAAACCCCCTTCCGCCCCCGCATGGCAAACACGCCCGCCTCCCCAAGACAGGAGACAAATCCCAGGGATAGAAATACCGTCCCCGTCTTCAAAACCCACCTCCACTCCCTCGCCACCCTAACCTCTGCCCTCGCCGAGGCGAAGATGGCCGAGATATCCGCCTCGTTCGACCTCTGCCTTGCTGCGTTTGATGGGAGGAGGGCTAGGGCTGCTGCGGAGCGGAGGAGGGGGAGGGCTGCTGGGGGTGACGGCAACAGCAACAGCAACAGCAACAACGGCAGGAACAACCCCGCCAGAGACAGGAAGACCACCACCCCCCAACACCCCACCCCAAGGACATCAAGACAAGCCGTCAAGTCCTCTATCACAAACCTCAATCAAGCTCTCGCCAAAAAACAGCAGCTGTGGCGGGATGTCGGAGAGGAGGCAAGCGCGGTACGGGTTGCGCTGCTGGGAGGGGACGGGAATGCGGATGATAGAGATGGCCGTGTGCGGCATTTGATGGTTCTGCTTGGGCTTGGTAGTGGGGGGGATGGGATTGGGGGGGCAAGGTTGGGGTTGTTGTGAGTTTGAGAGGGGGGATGACTTAATTGGGGTTGGACTTCTTGCACTCTTTTGGGAACTTGGATGTTTATGCCTTTTTTGGTTGCTCTTTCTTTCTTGCTGTTTTTCGTCTTCTTACACTCCTTCCGCTTCCCTTTTGTCGACGACTGATGAACTCATGATAAGGTTACACACATGTCCCACATACTATGAAAAGTACTATGCCATAGAAACAACTGCACAGAAATGTTTGGACTATGCACTCTTCTCCTCGGATACCAATTTTTTTGCCACGTACTCCAATGTCCCGGTTTCCCAGACCATAGATAAACCAAAGAATCCAACGGGATGGGGCATCCTAAGCAACCAAGTGCTGCGAGGTAACTTCAAAATTTCCCACAGTACCAAGCAAGTGTCTCCAGTAGGCCCATTCATCCGAAGCATGCTTATCTCAGTAGGCACCACCACGTTGACTACGTGTGGCGGACAGAAAGCCCCACACACGATCCGGTTTAGCTCGATGTCTATCACCAAGCGGCGTTTAGACCTCGAGGATTCTAAATCTTCCAACAACATTGCCCATAGTCAGTTGGTCATACATCGGCGAGGATGTTCCGCCGCAACCTTGGTTGTGGGTGAGTTAGGATAACGCAAGTGAGGGGGCAGCCCTGGATGCGGAGCTATCAACCGGACAGTCATATGTTGCCCGCAAGGCTGCAATTGTATCTGGTCGAACGGTATTCTAGGGCATTGATTGACCAGAGAGTGAGGATTCCACCGCATTCTTGGTGCTCGATGACTGAAACCCGGAGACCCCTATGAGGGTAATTAATTGATCTGGTGGAATGGTACAAATCCCGCCAAAACACAAAAAGGACGATGAATTACATTACTCGACGAATAATAGGGGAACGGGCCAAGCCAATTGATGGATATCGATTGGTGTCATTGTCTTGTTGATCAGACGGCGTTAAGCGGGTGTTCAATTCACATTAAGGAGCGCAATCACCATGAAAATGTAACCATTCGATTGCGCGTGGTCAATATGCTATATTCTGTGGAAAGTTACGGTGTCAGCTCCGATGGTTGTTTGGAAATTGAGGAGTGTCCTTTTCCATGCGGGTGGGTGATGTTGGATCATTTTAGCTCGGAGCCTGTGACTACTTGCACCCCTACTTCAGCGCGACAAAACCCTGGTAATTCCTCCTGGGACGAGCTGTTGAATAGCATTGATCACATAAACAGAACCATACTCCGTGCAATTATTGCAATCCCAACGGGTCCGTGGGGCATAATTGGGCTATAACTACATGTGGGAATCCCCAGTCCAGGGCGAAGATCGCGGGGCAAACGCCTCCCCGTTTCTTGCTGGACTCCTTATTCAGAGCGACGAAAGTCCGGCATTCAGTTGAGAAAAGCTTGTAAATGGTAAACGATTACTACCCAGAACCGCGTGATTTCTTACGACCTGGTGACTCCGGAGGATATGGCTAATCAGTGTGAACTTTCCGCTTGGAAACTGTGGTTTCTTCTTAGTTTCTGGTCCCGGTCCCAGCCTCCAATAATTACTTGGAGCGGGTCTCGCCGGTCGGCAGAGACTTGGATCTCTGATCCGTAGACACAATCAGCCATCTTGAACTACAGATCGATCGATCGACCCAAACCAAGAGACCAGTTGATGCACCCTTAATACCCTACACCTTTCCACGTAGGATGAATATTGTCCGCTTAAGTGTCCCCGTTTCAATTATCCTAGCATGCATGTTGCTAGCAACGTCTTTGCGGATTGTTCCGTTCCAATGCATTTACCGAGGGTCTCGCGTGCCACAAGGAATCCAAGAAGCGGCACATAATATTCCTTAAAGCACTCTAATCTTGCCTGGTTGGTTCCTCCCAAACCAGCACATCCAGCCGCTCCTTTCCATCACAAAACAAGCCAAATCACCATCAACAAGAAAGCGAGAGCAGGTATGCACCATCACTTATTCATCTCATCCGCATTGACTGATCCTAGTATCCCACGAAGGTCTCATTTCCCCGCTGATATCAACCCGCCGACTTCAAACCTCTAGCTCGGTCAAACGGCCGAGTCGGCAGCAACCACGGCCTCCAGACATGGGGAGAAACGATTTTCAAACCCCTTCAAAGAACTGAGAATCGTCTCGCCGAAAGAAGGACCAAGTGAGTTATATTTTCCAAGGACCAACTAGAACAAGCCGCATCCTGTTATCCCTTTCCAGCTCATCATCTCCTCCCTCTCCGCTGCGAAGCATGCTCTCATCGCCATCGTCCCCATAAAACCACCATCAATTAATTATCCCAAGCTAACGCTCCTCGCAGCAAACGTCCTCACAATGGCCCGCAAGAATAACACAAAGGACAAGGCCCAGCCCGGCGTCAACCGTGGGATGCGCGGTCGCCAGCTCCTCCGATTCATCGCCCACCTGCGAGAGACAGACATATCCAGCGACAAGATCACCGCGGCCATGGAGACCGACCCAGGCCTGCTGTTTGCAAAACATCTCGCCTCCAACGTGCCGCAAGAGGATAGCAGCCAAGACAACGAGGAGGAGGAGGAGGAGAGGTTCCCACCCTCGTGGCCGGCACGGGGCACGTTCAAGTCGTGGATAAACGGCTCTTACAAGGCCTGGAGGGAGGAGTCTATCCGGAACAAGTCGTTTGACCCTGTCGCTGCTGCGGCCCGGGAGAAGAAGCAGCAGGAAAAGGAAAAGGCCACTCTGGAGATCAATAACAACACAGCGGCTGGAGGGTCGGATCATGGCAGCGGGGAGCGACACCAAGACCCCGCCGGCGGAGATCACCTGCCCGGCAATAATGTCCCGACCCCGTCGCCCGATGGCCACGTCCAATCCAGCGACAAGTCGCCTTCTCCGTCAATGAACCCGAAGAGATCACATCTTCCGTCTACCGGGCCGAGCACCGTGGCCCTGGGAGCCAAGCCGGTCGAGTTCCAGCCCAAGCTCCCGGTTTCGCCTGTGCCGCCGGCTCTTGAGAAGCCGAAGATCCCACCAGTGCAGCATGCGGCATCAGCAGGGCATAGCACGGTATCTTCGGGGATGCCGCCGGCGCAGCATGACAAGCGCCCGGTTCCGTCGGCGTCGTCTCCAGAAGATCTGCATAGGCCGTATCCAGGGAAGTCATCGACACCGCCAGTCCAGCCTCCCCTCCCAACGACAGACCACCAGGCCCCGCAAGCCACCAGCACGACGTCCACCGTCTACGGCCATCGGACCTTTACCTATTTCGATTCCGACGGGTTTCCGGGAGAGCCGCGTCCGCCGACTCCGCGCCCGAACATCCGAGACGCGCTTCTCCCCCAGTCGTGCCGTCCTGAACCTCGCGTCCTGGTAGTGCATAACAACCCCCCTCCTCCGCGTTCCGACAAGGGCTCTGCACCCGTGCCAAACGATGCCGAGCAGACTAGGGCCAAGACCATCGACCACAGGTATGTCCCCAGCGGAGCCAACCCCGACACTTATTCCGGACATGCCATTCCCGGCCTGGCTCCCGCCCAAGCAAGTGGAAAGCAACCCAGTTTCGGCCCAACCCTCGCCCCAGACACTGGAAAAGGTACTGCCGCAGCATCCTCCACCGGTATCTCTGCCGTCGCCGGCCCAGCCACCGTCATCGGACCGTCCGGTGGTGGCGGTGGTACCGCGCTGACGCGCGAGAACCTGCTGCGTAACGCCGCCGCGCACAGGAACGCCGGGTCGGCTGCGGAGATGAGGGAGCGAGATGCTGCTGGGGCTGCTGGGGCTGTTGGGAGGGGTGACCCTGAGGTTAATGGGGATTGGTATAGGTGGTATGCTGAGGTGCATAATCGGAAGAGGAGGGAGGGGTGATGGGTGGTGAAGACAGGATTCATTGGTTGGTTGGTTGGATAATACTGGTGAAGAGATCGGATATCATGGCAGGGAAGGTTTGGAACACAAGTGCTTGCGTGGTTGGAGCCACTGGTTAACTACCAAGACAGTCATTGAGGGAGCGCAATTGACAGGGAAAGCCCCATTTTCCAGCGACCAAGTCCTGTAATAAGAGCCAATTCTAGACCAGTTTGCTCCAGACACTTGGGGCTTTCTGAGAATACCAAATTGCACCAGTTCTGTGCCAGTCCTGACAGTCACAAAGTTTCTTCGGGGAACCTGAGGGCAATTGACAGTAAAGCCCCATTTCCCAGCAACCAAATACCGTAATGAGAGCCAATTTTAGACCAGTTTGTTCCAGACATTTGGGTCTATCCGAGAATGCCAAATTGCACCAGCTCTCAGCTAGTCCTAACATTAAATCGGTGGAGGGAATCTAGCTGACCCAACAAAGGAGGAAACCCCATTTCCCAGCCCCCAAGTAACACAGTGAGAGCTAATTTTGGACTGGTTTGTTCCAAATATTTGAGGCTATCCATGGATACCAAATTGGCCCACATTAGCTGCAAACGTAAGCCTCACCAAAGCGTTTACATTTTTAGGTCAGTTATATGAGCGTGAGTAACATACTCTCTACCTACTGAAGGTCATCCAACTTCAACCTAAGCTTATAGTCTAAGTGGAAATTTAGAACCCTGTCAAACCTATAATGTCAAAGTCTTTAGTCAAGGAGCCTGCTGCGCACAGGCTATCAAAACCCCGGCGCAATTGACCCAAGAAAGGGGAAGCCCATTTCCCAGCGCCCAGGTATCATAATAAGAGCTAATTTTGGACCAGTTTGTTTTAGACATACAGGGCTATCCGGGGATACCAAATTTGTCACATAAGCTACAAACCTAAGCCTTACCAGCGTCTTTCCGATTTTGGGTCAAATCGGTGGAGGGACCAGGGGGAAAGCCCATTTCCCAGCGCCCAAGTATTACAATAAGAGCTAACTTTGTACCAGTTTGTTTTAGACAACTATGGCTATCTGGGGATACCAAAGTGGTCACATTAGCTGCAGATCTAGGCCTTACCAAAGCGTCTTTACATATTTGGGTCAAATCGGTGGAGGGACAAGGGGGAAAGCCCATTTCCTAGCGCCCAAGTATCACAATGAGAGCCAATTTTAGACAGTTTGTTTTGGAGATCTGGGCCTATCCAGGGATACTAAATTGGTCACATCAGCTGCTGCAGGCCTAGGCTTCACTAAAGCGTCTTCGCATTTTTGGGTCCAAGGAGGTTATATCAGCGTGAGTAACATGCTCTCTACCTAGGCTAGAGGGTCGTCCAACTTCAACACAAGCTTATGGTCTAAGTGGAAATGCAAAACCGTGGTAGAAGGGACGAGGACCCATCCACCCCAGCGCGTCCAAGGGGTCAAAAGCGCTCCAGAATAATGCAAAAGCGGCATTTTGCCTGCAGTCCTTCCTTGCCTTCCCAGTAACGTTGACCCTAGCAGCCGATTGAGTGGGTATCTTGACTAACGCAAGGAGAAACAGATGGTTAACTAGGTAGAGATATCTACGGACAATCTTCTTAAGATATTGGTAAAAAACATTTGTTACCCTCTGCTTAGGCTCTCGGTAGTTCAACGACGACATCAAGGATGAACTAGTTTCTAGTTGCTCACACATATATAGGTCTTGACTGACTCGGCTGACAGATAGAGCAGGACGCCGGGAGGGTCCAGACAGCCTAGGCCATAACACGCAGTTCGTCCCTCCCGCCAGGGACCACAACCTGGCTAGCCAGCAGACTAGTAGACAGCCGTCTTGTTTGTATCATAGGGGGCAGTCATGGCATTCTCATCTACTGCTGCCAAAAGTAACATCAACGCTGTCTTTTTGACATTGCGCTCCTCAAGCAAAGGGGTCGGCTCGGTGGCTGGGGGTTGGCGCTGGGGCAGCTGCTCCTTGACCAAGGATTGCCATCTTTATCGAGTTGAATCGTCCCGTGTCTCTGGTCGGAACAGGTCATCCTAGGTGAACAGGTTCCTTGCAGAGACTAGTAACATGGTTTCTCTCAGTCATCCCGCACAGAGAACTAGGAGTTTCGGCCAAGTACGCTGTAAAATAATCCACATCGACACAAACGGCTGTCAGTTTCTACACCATCAAACCCAACGCAGCCAGGTCAGGCACCCCAAGCGCAACATTGTCGTCAAATACATACTTTCTAGCTCATCTACAAACAGGCTAGTCAAATTGTCCACAAGGGCTACCACTTGATTCCCCAACAACCGCGTCTCGGCTGGGCTCCAGAACAGGCCGCCTCCTCCCCAATTCGACGGCAAACATAATCGCCACACTACGTCTGCCCTCACTCATCAGGCAGCTCACCGATATGACGACCAATATGCCCCAGGTACAAACTATGATACTAACCCACCGCCAGTCTGACGCGGAAGCCAAAAGAGAACATCCGAAAACCCTGTTGCTCCGCTGCGAGTCTATCAGACACCTCGGCTAGCTCCTCCTCCTTCTCAAGGAGTGCCGCGCTACAATCTCTGAGGCTATTTACATGACTACTTCGTCGGTACCCGTCCGGAAGACCGGAAGCCGCTGGGCTTTGGTTATAATCTCCCTCACTGACCACCAATGTTACAACCTACAGCACCCATCCGCACATCACAATCGTACCAGGGTGTCTCCGCAGTTCCTGGAACGCCGGGTTGCCGCCACTAAGACCGGGGCATGGTCCCATGTCCCATGGGCGGGACTCAAAGATCCTGGAGGCTATAATAGAGGGCGATGCGGCCCAAACCCCGACCCTGACCCGAGGACAGTCGAGCATCGCTGACAGGTTTGACTAGTCCCTGCCTGGCGATGCTGATCTTTTGTCCTCCTCCGTCTGCGAGGTGCTGGCGAACGAAGAGTGGGTGCTCGTGCTTATTCTCCAAGCGGTCCGCGGGTATATGTGAGGAGATCAGGCGACCTGTGCGAGGAGAGTGCCAGAGTCTGCGCTCCTAGGCCAGATCCCACGGCTCCTCGCTTTTGATGTAAGTTATGCGGGAGGCTTCTAGGAGGTTGGAAGTAGTAAGTAGTGCCGACCTTCTATCACCTCGAACGCCTCTGTCGCGATCTTACGAGAAGGAGGAGGAGTATATGCGCCACCGCCGGTTGCAGTGGGAGGCCGGCTCTTATATCCCTTCCAACGACACTACTTCTGGGTGGCTGGATACTGGCGGCTGCCTCACGCACTATACTGATCGGCGCGTTGGTGAAGCGGTAATGCCTCACGCACTATACTGATCGGCGCGTTGGTGAAGCGGTAATCCCCCAGCGCTCTTGTGAGAGTCTCTACCATCCTCCAACCAATGCAGACAAGACAATATATATGGCATAGGTAGCTGCTTGAGGAGTAGACGCGAGCAGGTTGCTGGCTTGGCGAGGCCGTGCGAGTCACTATACCACGGTTCTGTCCCATCCCATGACTTGGCAGGACTTGTATCGAGGTATTAGAGATCCTAGGTCGCAATACTGGTGAAGAAGGTCGTTAAGTTCGGGCATTGGGTCTGAAGAGGGAGGAAGAAAGCTGGATTGGACTAAAGTCTTTAGTTGCTGTTCAATGAACTGTTAAGCTGCTTGGCTGGTTGAAGTTCTTGTTAGTCATTCTCAAAACTATTCCAAAATTAATAGTTTACATAAGCTTATACGACAGTGCCTCTCATATTCCACATTCCTCCAATTCTTTTCTAGAGGCAAAACATAATCCTCACTCTAAAACCTTACAGTCTACAACACAGATGCGATTATCTTTGATAGGTTTCTAACTAACTATCATGTCACGCTCTCTGCCTCCTATCTCGTACGCAACAACCGCACTTTAGTGCCAAAACAATATTCCCAGCCAGAGAGGTCGTCAGCCATACCAGCATCCTGCCTCTCTTGATTGGAATATCCAGGCCCACCGTGGCACCAGATCTTGCTCCTCCCCCATGATCTTCGCATCAAATCCGGACCGTCGGGAGTATAGATCACATCCTAGCGTCTAATGCTGCAAATGAATCGGAATTCCTGGAGGGACGTTTTCTCTGGCCCTTCGCTTTCCAGCCGGCCATCTCTTGGCAGCCAGGCTGTCAAAATTTTCGGCATCCCTTTTATTTGCCTTTGTCTTTGCCGCGGCCTCCTTCTTGACATCAAAGGCAGCCTGGCGCTCAGCTCGAGCTGCCGAGTATAGGAGGATGTTTCTATCCTAACTATGCATCACCTAGCTGTCGGATACCGCAGTTGCAGATCCGCGGCTACACCCTTGGCAGCTACTTGAACATGCCAACGCTGGATTCGCGGAGGCGGAGCAAGAGCGTTCGATTGTCACTGTATTCTTGGGTTGCTTGGTGGCGTTGACATAGCTTTACAAAAGCTGCGTTCATGTAAAAGAGTTCCACTTCCGCTACATCGACATCTCGGTCGCCCAGGGCCGCCTCAACCATCTTTGGTATTTTGTCAAAGTCTTGGGGCGATGGAAGAGCTTATCCACGGTGCTAGTAGCTCTTCTCGGCCCCTGAGAACTCCTACCTCAGACCCAGCAGTTCGATGGGATGGCTTGTCCTAGACAGTAGCTGTTTGCCTGCGTCGCCTGCATCAAGATCATTGACCTTTTGGCCCTCCTATCGTAGTTCGGTATTGATTCCAGCGACAGCCTTGAGAAAGGCCTTGTATTAGTTAACCAAAAATGAGACGGCAATGTCTACACGATCCACACGCATAGACTCGCGTTGAACCCATGACGCGGAAGAGACTCATGCGAAGCGGAATTTTACCCCTGCCCATCCCCCCGGAAAGCCCAATCTTTTCGCTAGCCTTGATAGAAACCCTCCTTCTTTCCAGACTCAATGAAGCCCATGAAACAATTATATTAGAACTAGCTAACCTGTTACATTGCTTAACTACTACAAAGGCCTGGGAGGACCAACTCCTTGAGTTTGAGGCTCTGGTTATATAGGGAGGTGGGGAACGGTCAAAGATAAAGACAATATCTCACCCACCTTTGACCGACAGAAGCTGAATGTGAGGTTCACCTCTCGTTTAATCTTCCAGCTCTCAGTGCAAAACACTGCTAACCCAGGGGCTTTTTTGCCGCAGTTGATAGACCGCACGCAATGAGGAGCTTCCAGGCAAGCGTATAAACACACATCGACAAGGTTCGGCATATTAGGACGGATTCCCATGTTGCTTCTGGTGGACAGGGGTGCAGCTGTGCCATGCACGCAGACGACAAACATCGCAACGCTAAGAGGTCACCAGAGGCAGGGTTAAGGGGAACAGGGTTCAGATGAGGGGTAATTAAGTTGGTGGCACCCACAATGCTCTCCTCGCAAAGGGGGGAACCTACTCATCTCTTGCGCCAACCAGAGTCTCCGCTCCGGTGCTGACGACCTCCCGGGCCACTATCTGGGCGAAGACAACTCGTGGACATCGGAATGCTCTGGACAGGCTCAACGTACTAATTATTCCATAACAATGAGCAGTTTGACACCCAGTGGCAGATTATCTTCCAGAAGCTCGAGGCCTTCTACGGCACGGGTGCTGAGGTGGTGCTGTCCAAGTTGCCCATCGGCAATCTTGCGACGCAGTACTTTGCCGTCAGCGATGTCGGACAGCGCTCCCTTGCAAGCAGGGTGCTTAAGCGGCCCATCGCCGTCGCAGATCGGCAGGCGGTCAAGGATATTAGATAAGTCCGCAGAGACGAATATCACAATCCACGCCATCCGGATCCCGACTGTCATGTCATGCTTCAAAGGTCTGGATAATATTGGCTTAGCCCCTAAACGTCCCAGACACTCGCTATTAATTCATGTAATTCAACTCGAGGTTATGATTAGTCCCCAGAGAAGCCATGGATCGCAAGCAATCTCATATTCGACAGCGGCGGATTAGACGTGAAACTAGGGGCTGGCATTGCCGTCTAGTGATACTGGAACGTTTACCAATTCTAGCTTCTTTCTTAGCATCAGGCATTTTCCCATTTACCTCACCATGCTCTTGGCGATTTTGGACTACCTTGAGGACCTTGCATAGGACTTGTGGAATGCCTTATCTGCCTCCAGTGCAAACCAGCAGCTAGTTTAGCTTTGAGAGGACTTGGTGCTACGAAGAGGGTTGGTCAAGGTAAGATAACTGTAGGCTGCCTAGACGACGCTTCCCGGCGAGATGTCGCTGCTGTCGGGATTCAACACGGTTGCCGGATTTGAAACGACCGAGATTTAGCCCAGGGCGACGCGATCACGACTCATTGGGTCACGGTCTCCACGATAATCGGGGGTTCAAGAAGATATCCCCATACATCTATTCCTAGATGGATAGTGTCACGCTAAGCTTAGTCCATATGCCGTGCATGGCGAAGACAGTAAAGTCACAAGCAGCCCCTCCGTTTTCATCTACCCTAGAGGGATTTCCTGATGTGGTATAAGGTACTCTTCACTCCGAGCCAATCTCAGAACCTACTATCTAAGCCTCCCCCTAGTAAGGCCACAACTTCGGTTGAGATACAGAGCGATCATTTATTCCTCGGTACGACCGATCACTTCTCCCACTTCTCCTTGAGGCGCGCCCTGGGGTGCTAGCAAAATGATTTGGATTTGGATTCACAGGTGGCGCCTTCCCCCTGCGTCCCAAATTCACAATCCAGTCATGTGTCAAGTTGATATCTTCACCATCGGCACCCCTTGGGCCACATGTAGTAGGCAGGTCCCTTTCTTTGAGATTTGCCGTGTTCCTACCAGATTAATATGTTAGAAATGGCAGGGAGAGCTCATTCTCTTGGTAAAGATGTAGGTCGCATCTCCGGGAGCATGCGACTGGGCAGCAGCGTCTCAAAGGCCAGCTCGTTGGTCGGCGTCCACTCGGTGGCCCTATTTTGTTATCTGTGTAGCTCCTCGAGTTAAGAGCCTCGGACTCCTCTCCGTGGGCCCGCTACCTTGGATCCTGCACAATAGTCGCCGTAATTAACGAGCACTTCTAGGAGGTTGGCGGCAAGTTTCTCGCAATTAATGCAGTCACAATATTGGAACCGATGTTACCGTCCGGTTGAAGCTGCGCCCACCGAGACCGGCACCTCCGGGAAGTCCATCGAAGCCATCAACACTACACTAGAACTCTACTGGAGATCCAATGCGAAAGAGTCATGGGTTTTCTGCCGCTCCTCCGCTTGCTCGACATAACGGAATCCTTATATTCCTCGGCTTCTTCGGGGTGCAAGGGTGGTCTGGTGCCTCCTCCGCATCCTCCCTAAAGCTTGGCTCTTCTTTTCTCAAACACGCAGGTTCCCCTATCCGCCTTCTTTTCCAAGATCGTCGATTTGAACGACTTACCTACCAAGGCCAAGGCGGGTGATGGAAATGAGAGGGAAAAGGAGAGACGGGCAAGGCTGCTATACACTCTGCTGTCCTCGGACCTGGCCTGGAGATGCGGAAGGCGGTTACCACTTGGTTCAATAGAATTGCCAAATACCAGGCGCCAGTGCCACCGCCGCCTCGACCAGAGCCACGGACCCTGCCACGGCACCGCCTCGCCGGAAAAGAGTCCTGGGATCCCCAGTGAGTGGTGAAAAGCCTTGCCTGCCACTTGGGGAGAATCGGCCGGCTGCACAAGGTGTGGTCTGCGCAGCCCCTGAGGCTGCGCAGATTGATCATGGTGTGTCCGCCAGCTGGTCATTCTTGTCTGGGCGAGGACGCACCCAACGAGCGAGCATCGACGCCCGATGCTGCAGGAGGGCTGGATTGGCCCAACGAGCCGAGACTAACCAATGGATACAAAGAGCTATGTTATAAAGTAGGAGGCACCTTGCGAACGCCCCAGTTTCGGAAATGAATTCAGCTGAAAGGGTGCTGGACAAGACAAACAAGATATTTGTAGATAAATGTAAATATACCCCGTGGAACTAACCCACTAGCCGACGGGAAGCACTTCTCCGATTGACTTTGCCTTGACCATGTCAACGTTAGGCTCCGTGAAGGCGCTGGCGCCTAGGGGAGAAGTTGGGGATGATAGTCTTAAGCATATCAGGCTTCTTGCCCATTAGCTTGGCCGTCACCGAGGCTCGGAAAACCTCGACGAGCCCATGCTTCATCGTCATGCCAAAGAAACGACCCAAATATGGCGATCAGTGTAGCCTCGCTGCAGACCAGTAATTAGTGTCTCCTATGGTGACCATCTCCTGAACGGCTCTGTGGCTTGGCTTAAGTAAGGAAGAAGTGGATTATGAAGGCGACTTTATCAGAAACACGTAGAAGTTCTCTTCCTTTACCTACCATCGACGTCCGATCATGCCCTCAACCCACATCCATCACTGCTGAGTTTGCAATAGCCCCTGTCCTCTCGGCACTGCGGCGGCGCCCTCGGTCCTTTTCCCCTTCCCCCTTCCCCCTTCCCCGTTCCAGCTAGCAAACCATTCAGGCTGCGCTATTAGCCGACAATGCAAAATTTTATAGCGGAACTCGGGCGTCCCGCTTGTTGCTAAATGCATGTCCTATAATGGTGCGTTTTTGACGTTCAACTACTTGCGATGAAACATCAGCAGCCAGATATAAAAGTGGGTCAGTGTGGCTTGTTATGTGTTTGAAAAAAAGCATAACAAGCCACAGCTGGTGTTAATCCTTTGTTGCCTGCACTCAGGCTACCTCAGCGACATCCGCGCTATCTACAACCTTGTATCAAGTTGGCAGGCAACATTGACTTCCTCTTTATTTGAGGAGAAGGCCAAGTACAAATCATTGCTGTTCTACTTCTATCCCGAAGACAAGGTACTACAGAAATATGCAGTCTCTTATAAGAGCTTCCAGTATAGCAAAGACGAAGACCCTTAAGTCCAGCGGGTAATCTCATGGACCCCCAAGATTGCCATGTCTAGTAGGCAAAGGGGTTGACCCTCCCTGTCCCAGTCGCTTCACCATAAACCAGCGCTTGGTGTAGGGCCTGGTTTTGCTACCTCCTGGCTCCATCCCATGTTGAGACAGAGCGAAGTTGGATCCGAGAAGCACTGGTTGCTTGTTAGACTTGCTAGTGCTGTCTTTGGGGTGAGGGTGGTTCTGTGGGTGGCCTACCTTCACTTTGATACGGGGCTCGCCAAGAGACCCGAAGCCGCCGAAATACGGCCGCCGCCGGAGGTGGGGCGTCGGAGGCGAACGGGGATGGACGCCCGAGCAGGCTGATGGTCGTGGATCTGCCGCTATTACCATCACTGCTGCCATTGCCGCTGCTTGAATGTCCCTATTCACATGATGAAGGAAGATTAGACTTGCTGTTGCTATTGAAGCAGTCTCGATACGCTTGGGTCCCAGCCGCCATCTGGCTGGACGACGTCTTTGAGGCCAATGTTAATTAATTGTTGGTAAGAACGGCTCTTTCACCCGTCGCCGTCAGCATCATTGGCCACATTCTAGGCACCAGCAGCCACCTAACAGCCTTGGAAGGGATTACATGCTATACCGATCAAAGGAAACAGCCTGAGATTAATGATATGTGATGTGCAATGTAATATAGAAGCCGGACATAGAAATCGCAAGTTTGAGTTCATGGCCGGCAGGACTGCGATGGAGGTTGGGATGTGCGTATCATGGAGAGGAGGTAGATTGCGCCCGGGTTCAGGCCCTCGCATCTCCATACCAATATCATAACTAGCCACCCATCCAACCTCCAGTTCGGAGCCAACCCAGCACACTGCTTCTCACCACCTCTGTCTCTCCTATTCCATGTGCCTTTGAACCTGTTTTTGCTTTATTCAAGCCAATATAGCGTTGAGAAAGGGGGTGTGTCACATGCGTGTCCGAGTGCGCCGACGCGCCCGCGTACGGCGTCGCCGGCCACGGGGGAGAGGACGCCGCCAAGGTGATCCCAATTAGTGGGCAGCTCGCGGCACTGGTGTGAAAGGCCTCGGCGCCAGCCGACCTTGACCGAGAAGGCTGGTTTCTTGGCGGTCTTGCAGGCCATGTTGCGGCGGAGAAGTACATCTTGGTGGATACGACAAGGATTTGGCAGGGGCGTGAAGCGGACATGTCTGCAGCGGTCTGGTCCGGTCCTTCTAGTTTGAGTCGTAGTTTTTCAGTGTGTACTAGGCCATGTCCATCCGCAGCATCATCTTGACCTTGGGGCTGTAATTGCGCCGCTCGGGGGTGCCCTAGACATGCGCCGGGACCTTTCGGTCCTGTTCGTTGAGGTGCTGAGCTACGTCCTACTACATGCAAAATGCGCCATCGAGATGAGAGCATGCATGGGCGACTGCCTGTGGAAGTCGGTATCTACTAAGGACAGCGTAACAACTCATCGTCTAGGCGGCGCGGCCGACTGCTTCGGTCAACTTTGCTTTGCAGCCGTGTCCTCCGCTACGTCGTTGTCGTTGACAATGGCTGCTCTGGTGCAAGCAAGGGAGATGCGGCTACATCTAGTCTATCTTGGCGCTGCTGTGCGAGACTCTGGACAAGAGTAAGAACTGGAAATGGGCTGGTGCATCTATGTTGGTCCCTGGATTCTTTTATGCGATTCTGTGAGCCAAGAGAGCTTGACTATCCTGATGTTTCTCTCCTCTGGGTCTTGTTCCGACTTTGCGATCCTGTCCCCTGCCTCAAAACGAAGGGAAACTTTAGATAGATGGAGCCGAAGACATTCGAGTCTCTGTCGCGAACGGGAACAGCAACAAGCCGCGTCTCCTCATCACGGGCACCTCGATGATGCAAGCAGAGAGTGTCGGGTGCGAGTCCACGGCTACAGACAGGGAGGCTATAAATGAACCCCGAGAATCTGTCAAGCAAGCGGCCGAACCGAGAACCCACGGGCATCGGATCTCTTGCTTCTGGCATTGATGAAGAACGCGGCGAGATTGCTGGAGGACCAGTTTTCCTGCGAAAATGCAGCAACTAAGCGCGATGGACATGTTTCACGCCATCGGTTTCGAGGTTATCCTCAGTCCTGCAATATGGCTTTATAAAGGGGCCCTGCTGTGGTGTCGCTGTCTACCACTCTTGCTATCGCTCTTGCTATCGCTCTCAGAATACGATAAACTGGTCGAATTTACTGGACGAATTTCGACTATCAGACCGACCGATCTCAACGGAACGGGGACCAGGTTATCTCACGGTTCATGGCGTTCCAGTGGTTTGTATGGGAGCAGAGCCAGCGTAGGTTTGACCAATAGCACGCGCTGCCATCTCAACTAACAGCATTGGGGCTGGAAGATTATCCAAACTCGGACAATGATAGGAAGTAAAGGTCGTAACAAGGTCTCCGATAGTAAACCGGCGCTGCACGGCTTTGGGACGACTCCCGGCGCGAGGTTGCTAACTGCGACCGTGGCTGCTGCAGCGGACCACGTCGCACAAAAAGGCGCTGAGAGCACACGTCGCGGAGGCATATGACTGGTGTGGGATTTTGTAACCAAGGGGCTTTGGCGTTGGGACTTCCGATGAAGAGGTCCTGGGCAAATTGTTAAGATTTGGAATTAAGAGTAAGGGAGGGGAACATTGAGAGAGAGATGAAGAGGAAGGAGGAGAATAGGCGGAGGGATTTGAATCAAGATATACGCATTGGCAAGTCTGCCCTTGACATCGCGTGAAAGCTTGGTATCAAGCAAAACATGCCTTTTCAATGTAGTGAGGATATCAATCGAGGGCTGGTTGATAGTCAAGCCATGGTCCAAATCATGACGCAGCGGGTCTAAGGCCAAGGCTTGACGTCTAAGAGGTCCTGCCCTTGATCGCAACAATGCGGCCCGGGACAAGGTGGCGCGCAGGGCGGGGGCGAGAACGTCGCAGTCTAGGGTTGAGAGGGCACCCAAGCCAAGCTAGGAGGCAGCGCGACTGCTGTTTGCGTGGAAGACAATGCCTTACCTGGAGGCGCTGGGGGGGGGAGTTAAGCTATTCAGGGGTTTGGGATTTGGGGGCTATAGACGTGGATGGTTATGTTACCATCCATGATCGAATCAAGGAAGACAAGCCTGTAATGCCGGTGAAGATATCCAGATATCCGCACGATGACACTCCCTCCCTATATGTAGCCGGCAGCGGAGACTGCGGAAAGACCTTGCAGGGAGGTGGATATGGAGATATTGGAGGAGACTGCAAAGCCAGTTGTGTCTGTCTGTAAGCTAAAAATTATATAGATTGCTTCGGTATGGTACGAGAACTATCGCGATCAGCCACAGCAGAATTCTATCGCGCTCTGCCTTCCCCCAAGTGCACACCCATAGTGGCAACATGGAAACACAAGGACCCCTCCATTCCCAGCGGGGCTTATGCACTTTGTGCGCCCCTGCTACGTGTTCGGCTTATCCATAACCGTGCGTAAAATTTCTCGCTCCCTTTATCAGGTGTTTATGCGTATATGCGTAATTTATGTATTCACCGAGATGCCCAGGGTCCCTCGACAATTTTTCAGGATTTGGCGGCCGACCCGAGACAGCCTGCACGTGACAGGGCGAAGGCGAAAAATTCGGCGTTGCTGCAGCGACGTTATGCGGGGTAGCGGACCCCGCCCCTATCGCAATGTTGACAAAACAAACCCCTCCAAAAAACCGCGACAATCTTTTAAACCCCAGTCCTAATTATTCGCACCACAAACGTCAACTATCCACAATTTCCATTCTTGTATATATGGCCAGTGCAACATCACTCCTTCGCCTGCCTGTCGACGAACCCAGCTTGGCTTCTTGGGATGCGTCGCACCGCTATTCTCCTGCCACGATTGATTTCCTCCATCCCGGGTATCCCGATGGCGACAACACGCTCTTGTCACTCCCGGCTCTTGATGACGGCGGTATATACTACGACATCGCGCTAGCGGCATGCGGCGTGATTGCCGATAACACTTGGAGCACCGGCTTCTTTGTCGAGTCACGACCGGTTGTCGCCGCTGAGGATATAGCGGCCAAGGATCGCGTCGCTCCTCCGCAAATAGATCGAGTCCTTCGGAGGCCGAGATACTACTTCTGCGTTCCCGGTTTTGCGGGTTAGTCTTCCCTCCCTCCCTGCGCCATGTCTCCTCATCTGTCTACCTTGCTAACGGTGATCTGCGCTCAACAGACCATCTCTACCCGATTGTCCCGCGCTTCTCTGACTGGCGATTTCCCCACGGCGAATTACCAGATGCTTGGACACAGATCGAGTCTGTTGCGGGCCACCCAGCACCAGACCCACGGTTCTGTCGGTTGACGGGACATGCTGATGGCGTCGAGGGTGCCCATCTTGTTCCGGTGTCGCAGCTCGAATGGTTTAACGATAACAGGATGTCACGGTTAGCTTTGCCACCGGCCATGACGGACTTTCCATGCTGACACTAGCCTGGCCCAGATACGCGCGTGTTGATAGGTTCTCCACGGCTATGATTGACTGCGACGGAAATGTTATCCCCCTTCGAAGCGACATCCACAAAGTCTTTGACGAGCGCCACTTCTGCTTCGTCCCAAAGCACCACCACCACACTCCTCCCGCCGGCCCAGCCGCTAGTGCTACCTCATCTTCCCTACCAACAACCGAGTCACAACAGAACCGACCATCACAACCATCGACGTCGCCAGCGCCAACCCAAGCCCTCGTAGTCCACGTCTTCAACCCCACAACAAGCGGCCAGCTCCAAGTCCTCTACCACAACCGCGCGGTACACGGCCTCTCCACCGTCGTCGAGCCCGAGTTCCTCTTTGCCCGCTTCGCATGGACGATACTCTCGCCCTCCGTGTCGCGCCACTTCCTCCCGCAGGCCCGGTCGTCACGCCTGCTCCTGCTGCGCGGCTCGGGGGACGCCCCCAAGAGCGCCGACCCGGATCGCTGCTACCAGCTGTACCTCAGCATGCGGTCGCGGTCGACGAGTCCCAAGAAGAGGATGCTTGGCTCGGGGGTGGGGGGGGGTGCTGATGCTGTGGATTGGGGAGGGGGGGATGATGATGGTGACGATGGGGATGGGGATGATCCTGGTGATGATGGGGACGTTGGCGATTTGTCTGAATCTAACCCCGATCGCTCGTTTAGCAGTTGGGCCGACACGCAGAGCTCGGGCCCTGTTGCGGAGGATATCATCGAGCCTCCTAGGTGCAGCGATTTGTACAAGGATAGATCATGTTTCCCGAATAGCTTGGAGGCCTTGGCTGAGCAGATGGAGCCGCGGGGTCGCTCGAGAAAGCGCGAGGTCGACGTGGAGGAAGGCGTGGGTGACGGCGGGAGAGGGATCGCTGTGGCGGAGAGAGCGGTAAAGCACCGGAGGCAAGAGTAATTGCTGCTTCTATAGATACCCTAATGTATGCATGTCCAATTCAAACGTTTCCACCTGACTAATACTGGAACTTGTTCCCAACAGGTTGCGTGAGGAGTCTTTCTCGGTTGGAGTTCAGAAGGAGTTGACGATCCTCAATATTGCGTTCCTCCCCCACCTCGACGGTAGGAACCACAACCGGCGGAGTGCTCGCAATGGTCTACGTGATCGGCGAGGTTGCTTCACTTGTCACCGTTGGCTTTACCGCGAGTGTGGCCCCTTCTTAGAGATGTCTTAATATTCAGGCTCTCTGCGGTCTTCTCCGTCTGGTCTAGTTGATGTGGATGACCGTCCCAAGACATTAAGTCTTTATTTACTACGGAGTGTGCCGTTGGGAGACTGGATAGCGTTATAATACACATTGTTTGAGACAGGAGTCTCCTTGCCAGTGTCACGGCTGTTGAAGCTTATCCTCGACTCTTGGTAAGATAGAGTTTTGATCAAAGATAGTGGACTGTAGATTAAGAGGATAATAATGAAAGCGGTCAAGTATGAGAACCCATTCGGGATGCAAGATCCTGCAGCTGGCGGCTTCAGGAGAGGGGACGATGTCGCATTAAAAGCAGAGCCGACGCCCAACCTCTGCTCGTGACTCAACCGTCGATGCCGGAGGCGTTTATGAGCTTAGAGACATCTGGTGTCTGGTTGGTGGCCCCTCATCCTGTCCCGCTGCACAGTACCAATCTTCGACACCAGCTCCTTATACCAAATGCGAAGGTACCTGGCAACACAGGCGAGCAAACCGGTGGCGTCCTCGGTCAGCGCCGTAGCTGGCATGCGGCGTCTATGCGCACCCGGCTAGCGAGGGAGCCGGCCGAGATGAGGGCGGAGAGGTCTGTGGCGACGGATTCGACGCCGTGCTTAATGTCTGGGTTGTGCTGGCGGCTAACCTGGATCTTGTGGAGGGCAGGCTGCAGATCCGAGAGGCCCCGACGATGCAGCCAACATCTCCAGCGTCAGTAGCTAGCAAGGCGGACAGGTGGGCGAACCAGGCTATCGACTCTGACGCAGAGTCCACGACGTCGTTGACTATGCCAGTCTACTTGAAGATCACTTCGACAAAGCAGGCGGTGTCGGTGTTGTCGTGCCGGGAAGGCTCCGAGAGGAGGTCCGCAGGAGTGCGGGTGCGGGGGGCCTCGTCTCCGCGGCCGTCGGGCGGGGCAGAGAGGAGAGCGATCAGAATATGTCGTCAGAGACGGCCGTCAATGCGGTTGAGGAGGGGCTCGCCGGCGACAAGGTGGGGACCAAGACGCTGCAGTCAACCATGTTGGGCTACACGGGATACTCGCGATGGATCATCCTAAGTCGACTACAAGGGTAGAGCGCTGGTATGTGTGGCGATGAAGCCCTTCACATTCTAAATGCTGGATTGACAGCCTTGGCACATGTAATGGCATTCGAGGCGGAGGAATGTGGCCCTGTAGCTGGGATTCGGTTCGGTCGTTAAGTGGCACTGCAGAAGAGCCTAGCCAGGTTAGCCTCCATCTAAGGGTGGAGAAATGGAGGAGGGTGAAGGGGGGGGGGGGGGGGGGGGGGGGGGGGGGTAAAAAAAAAAAAAAACCCGTAGTTTCTAGAGAAGCGCAGTCAAGTGCTAGGTGAGTGGGGGAGGATATGTTGTGGATCTTAACAAAAT